TGGTGCTCTGGAACGGGTTGATGTAAAACCTGATGGTTGGCATCCACATATCCCAAGGCTACAGTGCTTCTCAAAATGCTTATCCCCATCTTTATGTCATCAGTGTACATAGAGAAAAGAGAGATTAGAGGACCTTTGAGTACATCTATATTGCATGATCAGTTCTGGACCAATATTTGTGTCTGTGCAAAATGGAGTGAGGACAAGCTGACCCAAAGCTTAAGGATGCAAAATGTCAGAGACAACATGAGGGCAGACATGTCAAGTTTTTTGGTTCTCTTTAGTATCGGTCAGATATCCTATTACCCCAGCCCTGTGGTAAGCAGTTGGAAGCATCCCTGGGACTTCCTGCTATGAAGCATCATTACAACTTTAGTGGAAGATCCTGTCTCAAAGAAATAAGACAAGAGAGTGACAGAGCGGGCCACCTGACATCCTCCTCTGACCTTACACATGGGTACATTTGTACACACAACACATACACACATAAATGTAAAAAAAAAAAAAATCTTAGAAACATCTCAGGTCACTTATGTGGATGTCAGGTTAAGAAACAATTATCTTCAGCAATCCTTTTCTTTAATTATGTAGCCAGTGAGAGGTACTAGGAACACCCAGTCAACGTCTTTGTTCCTCTAGAAGTGCCCCAAAGTGTCACATATACTTACCAAACTGTTTATTTCCTAAGTAGTGGATTAGAAGAAAGAAATGTAAAAGTCATTAGAAGCAAAATGCTGTCACGTAAGTGTACCCTGCCAAATGTAAATAAACCTGTGAGGTTACAAAGTACAGAATCTTATGTGTGAGACTGGTTATACCTGTTGGTATATATATATTGGTTAAACAGACAGATATAAATATAGACAAATAGATACGAGACAGGATATTTATTAGAGAACTGTCTTACACAATTATAGGCTCCCATAAAGAGGCTCTGTAGGCTGAAGACCTTGAATTTCGGAAAGTATGTCTCAGTGCATGTCTGAGGCCTGGGAAGCAGGAAAGCCCAAAGTTTAAGAACCTGGTCTGGGGGCGGCTAGCATAAGCTCTGTGGTCTAGGGTTGAAAGACAGGGGCAGGAGAGGAAAGGTGTATGACATCCAATGTAGTTCTCAGCGTGCCTAGAAATATTGTTTCTGAGGGGGTGCAGTGAAGAAACTGTTAACATGACTGCTCCATTATTAGGGGGAAGGTTTTCACTGTAAGAGAGAGGAAATATCCAAAGGCATCTTGAGTACAGAGCAGAGAAAGAGAAAGCAGACTGAACATGGCCAGGGCTAAGGAAGCAGGAGGATGGAAGAGAACAGTATAGACAGGTAGAGAGCAAAAGTAAGAGAAAAAACAGAGAGATAGAGAGAGGAAAAAAGGGAGAAAAGCTAGAGATTGAGGGACAGAATAAGGTGGACAAATCACATGAATTATAAGGAGGACAAGTAGCTGGGGGAAGGAAAGGGCCTAGATGCTGGTGTGAAGTTTAAAAGGTGCAACAGGTACTTGAGAGAGCCTGGAGGCCAGTGTGGGCTTTGATATGCTGATATCATATATGTACATGCCAATAGAAAATCAAGGACCATTTCACAAGTTCCCGAGGTATACTGGGTTTTTAATCTAATCATTAAAAAAACTTCTATAGTCCAGCTTGAGCTCATTTTTGGGTATGTGGACAGTTTGAGACCCAAGTTTAAACAAATTATATTAGGACACTAGTGAGTTTGGAAAGCCCTACCCTGAAGAACGTACACACACACACACACACACACACACACACACACACACTCACTCATACTCATTTTTTAACTGGGGAATAATCTAAAGACTAACATACTGGCTAGTTTTATGTCAACTGTTTCACAAGCTAGAGTCAGCGGGTGGGGGTGAGCCTCAACTGAGAAACTGCTTTCATTAGATCTGCTGTGAGGCATTTTCTTAATTAGTGACCAGTGGGGGGAGGACCCAGACCACTGTGGATGGTGGCACCTCTGGGCTGGTGGTCTGAGGTTCTAAGAAAGCAGGCTGAGTGAACTAGCCATGACGAGAAAGCAAGTCAACAGCACCCCTCCATGGGTGCTGTATCAGCTTCTGCTTCTAGGTTCCTGCCCTGACTTTCTTCAATGATCATCAGCAATATGGAAGTGAAGGCCAAATAAACCCTTTCCTCTCCAACCTGATTTCCCCCCAACCACAAGACAGGGTTTCTCTGTGAAGCTTGACTGTCTCTTTGTACAGCAGGCTGGCCTTGAAATCACACAGATCCACTTGTCTCTACCTCCCTGAGTGCTGGGATTAAAAGCACATGCTCCAACTTAATTTTTGATCATGGTGTTTCACTGCAATAGAAATCCTGAGAAAACTAGTAGCAGGTGAATGGCTCAGAACACATTATATATTTTAACCAGATACCTAACCACATATGTGATAACCACATTATGTGATACCACATATAAGGATGTATGCATGTGAAGTGAGGCTATAACATCTGGCTTTGAATACTGTTGGGAGTGACTGTCTTCTTTGCTTGATCTCTACTTTTTTTAAAAATACAATCCAGACATGGCCTGATGGTATTATTACTTAACTGTTGACATTTTATAACATTTGTTTTTAAAAAAGTCCAAGCACACTGCAAGAGGATGAAAGGAAATATTACAGTCCACTGTGGGCACTAGTTGGGTGAGATGGAGAAGCCCCAAGCATGACAGAGATGATCTCGTTGCCAGACCACGCATCCCAATTCTTGAAGTTGTAAAATTTGGATCGTGGTAATCCTCCATAAAGGCTGCTGTGGAACTCTGGCTTGAAGGTTTTCAAGGTGATACACAATATTGATTCCATAGATGTTGTTAGGCTCTGTGCATGTTGGGGAAGAATGCTGCGTTAACCAGATCCCCCTTTAGATTTTTTTTTTAAGATTTATTTTTAGTTATGTGTGTCTGTATGGGTATGTGTACATAAGTGAGTGCCTGTGGAGGCCAGAGGTGTCGGAGTTCCCTGGAGCTCGAGTTACATGTGGCTGGGAGCTACCTGACATGGGCAATGAAAAGCAAATCCTGCTCCTCTGCCAAAGCCATAGTCACTCTTGACCACTGAACCCTCGAGTCCCTGTCATAGTAAAACAGGATCTCTTTAGGTAGGCCTGGCTGTCCTGGAATTCCCTATGTAATCAGGCTGGCCTAGAATTCATAGATTTGCTGCCTCTGCCTCTGAGTGCTAGGATTAAAGCCGTGTGCCACTATATCTGGCTTCATGATGTCTTACTATTTGTTAATGTGCACATGAAATGTCTGAGTGGAGTACGGTGCAAGTGTATCTCCTAGAACTAGTGTTTTATGTTATTTTTTTCTGTTTCCTTAAGCAGGTTTCTAAAAAGCTGATGTGACAAAAATGGCACCTATCTCATCTTCCCAGCTCAGAGTCAAAAAGGCTCTTTTCTCTAGATCCAACTTTGCTTGAAACATTTAAAACCTGGACTTCATAGTTGGTCGGTTGTCCTTTCCTTTTGTGTGTTCTGCAGATGTACCTCTGAGCAGCAGCTGTGGCTAGCCGCTGCTACTCCTGAAGCCCTGGGCTCATGAGGCACCCCTGATGTATGTACAGCACAGGCCCGGACAGTCTGCTTCCCAGAGCAGCAGTCTTGGTGGAAGACGGTTGTTGCAGCACTTCCTTATCCTGGGTCTGTAGTGTAGGTTTAAAGATGACTGAGTAGTGATTTTTAGAAAAGGTGACATCTGCTTATTTACTCCTTGGATCTCAAGTGAGTTCGGTTTCCTTCTTTTGCAAAGAAGCCTGGAGGACTGCTCTGCTCCAGTTGGTCCTGAGGGCAGGGTGCCTCTGCAGAAAGCTTAGCATCTCCCTCATACAGGCTAAGGAAACAACTTTCTGGACAAGAGTTTGGAGACAACTATGGTTTCCAATTTGCATCAAGTCAGTGTGAGAGAGCACGTTAGCAGAGTGGTGACACCTGCAGACCATTCCTACTTAGGGGTAACTATTACAATGGTCTAGTATTTAGGAAGTCTGGACTGTGGGAGCTAAGTTGGAGAATCTGAGGCCAGAAAAAGAGATGGAGAATATCCGCAGTTTACAAGTCAAGAGCAAGCAGGTGTGCTCTGTGGGCCATAGCACCCTGGCATCTTCAGTCATGAGGTACTGCATTAATTTTGACCAATCATGAATCTGTGATGGATAAACCGATGGATAACTAAGGCAGTGGGTGGTGGCAATGTCAAGCCCAAAAAATGACAGCTGGAGACAATCTGTGTTTCATAGTGGGTCAGAAAAAGAAAGCCATAGGCATTTTGAGTCGAATATTCTTTTGTTTGTTTGTTTATGAGTATTTTGCTTACATTTACAGATGCATCATGAACATTCTTGGTGCTCGAGGAGGACAGACAAGGCATCAGATCCCCTGGAACTGGAGCTATGGAAGGTGGTGACGGGACTTGAGTCTTCTCAAAGAGCAACAAGTGGTCTTAACTGTGGATACAGCTCTCCATCCCCTGAGCCAGGTGATCCTTACGATTCTGGGACTACGACATGAACTAGGAAGTCTTATGCTCTGAGCTCCTCCACTCTGCTAAATATGATCAGCATCAAATCATGACCATAAACTGCTTTCTCAAACCTGCAATACCTCCTTCCCACAGGGTCATTTCTCTTATCAACCTGGGCGTCAGAAGCATTGGACAATACTAAGATGTAGCTGACCACCCCGCCAGAACACAGTGGATGTGGTTCTACTGCTGGCTCCACATTTCCTAGGAGGCAGCTTTTCTTCACAGATCCATTTCAGTCTCTATGGGGTCATGTCCACTGCAGGTGTCTCTCTAAGTTAGTGAGTAATGGTTTCACAACAAAATTGTGTTCAGGTGTGCCCTGCTAATGAAGTGATCACCTTAAGCCTGCTACTCTAGGAAAGAGGATTGTTGAAATCCAGCCTTGCTTCTGACTGCAGTTGGCTTCTAAAACATGGGGAAAAAAAAATTCTTGTCACTCAAGTTTTAGGGAAACATTTTATAATTTATATATAAAATTTCAGTAAGAAACAATGTAAAATGACAAGAATATCCACCTTACAATAAGAGTCAAAACAATAAAATAAAACCAAATTTTAAAAAAGACAAAAAAAATTCATAACCCCTAACAATGAAAAACCCACACACAATGAATGTAAATTTTAATTATAAAACGAGAGTATGAACAGAGCATTTAAAATGACCTTAATCATTTGGCAACTCATCATATCATTGCAAGAAACAGATCCAATCTTAAGAAAACATTTCTTTGTGAAAAAACTTAAGTTGGATAATTTGTTCATTATGGGGGTTAAAACATGTTTAAAAAAGAACCTGGCTATAAAACCAGTTTCTATCCTGAAATAATTGTATAAAACAACATGACATCCTGAAGCTGGATAGCTTGGAGCAATGAAGTCTTCAAGCATTTCTCTTCACTGAGACAGAGAGTATGGAGATGGTGGCAGAGGCTTGGGAACAGCACAGAAAATGAACCACAGAGGGTGCTGCCTGCAGGTGAAGGACGCGACTTTACCTGAACCAGAGTCACTTACGTTAATGGTGCTGGAGGTAAAGCCACAGGGGCAAGGGTAATTGAAAAACAAGTTACATTCTTAAAGAACAGTCATGACCGTGGACGGAAAGCAGCAGAATCCGTTCTTCATCTAAACTACTTTACTTGGATGCATGCGTGAATTTCTGTTTCCTGCCAGGCCATATGCAGATAGTTACAGGGCAGGCAGAGTCCTAGAACTCTTCTACTAATGACTGCATAGCATTTAAAACCCTCTTTTTATTAAAAAGAATAATAAAATAAAATAAACAGATATATAGTAAAGTTCACAGATAAGATTTCTCTGTAAAATAAATAAAGTGTTCATTGATTAGCATCATACATTGAGTAAAATACAGCCTATTTTTACATGTTTATATACTATACACAGATCCCCATGGGGCAGCCTGGTGTTTGATGGGCTGGAAGGATTGCATTAGTGATGTGTCACATTGGGAAACCCCAATTTCCACTGTTAAAATATACAACTACTTTGCTGAGTTCAGATACAAAGTAAACTTATCTTTCTTTATCTGATGTGAATGTACATAATACCATCTCTGAACAATGGTTTATAAAGCGGTTTAAAACATAATAGGAACAAGCTCAAACCTAGAACTTACAGCACATGCAGATCCTTTTCTTGTTTTTTAAAAAGAAAAAGCCCATGGGTGAGGCTTGTCCCTTTCTCTCCAGAGCCAGGGCGTTGAGCATTACCGTTTCGTCTTTTTCAGAGGCATTTCGTCCACTCTCTGCTGGCCTCTTGTTCGAGCACCAGGAGGGCTGACTTCTCTCTTGCGCTTGACAGAAGGAGAGAGCTGTGTCTTTGATCTGCATTGAGCAAAAGCCAAGGTAGTAAGTTAAAATCAGTTGCTTCAAATAACTTGGGAGTCTTTAAAACACTACCCCAAGGGAAAACCCCGGAGTATTTCCTACTTGAAATGGCTCGAACAGTCTGGTTCTTCACCAGCAACCTTGAACACAGTATAGGTGGAGCTTTGGAGGAGGAGCACAGAAGCCTGCGCTCTGTTCCAGCCCTGCCACCCTGAGGTGCTGACCTCGGTTTTGTCAGCATCCTTCTCTATACCCCTGTTCTACCAATACTTACACAGTTCCCTCTTGAAACAACTAGCAAGAATACAGCAGGACTGCAACCTAGCATTTGACAGAGTCAAAACCATGCTTCAGAGGAGTATTAGAGAAGGCAGCTGGCACAGTAGGAAAAGGTTTAGAGGAGCACGGTAACTGATCACAATCCTGTCACCATCCTCAGACATACAGAGCTCTTGTTGACTCTCTGAAACTTCTATGGCAGTGGGTCTCACCCTTCCTAATGCTGCGAGACCCTTTAATATAGTTCCTCATGTTGTGGTGGCCCCCAACCAGAAAATTATTTCATTGCTGCTTCATGACTGTAATTGTGCTCTTGTTATAATTATAATGTAAATATGTGGTATGCAGGATATCTGAGATATGACCCCCAAAGGGGTCACAAACCCACAGGCTGAGAAGCACTATTCTAGGACAAAGGACAAATCAAACCACAGTACATGTGTTTACACAACCAGCTCTCTACTTTCAGCACTCTGTACTGCAATGCTCTGTAAACACTGCTTTGCTCAAACAAATGCTGTCATCTATCTCCATTTTTTTAAGATTTATTTATTTATTTATTTATTTATTTATTCATTTATTTATTTATTTATTTATACAGTATTCTACCTGCATGTGTGCCTGCAGGCCAGAAGAGGGCACCAGATCTCATTACAGATGGTTGTAAGCCACCAAGTGGTTGACTGGAAATAGAACTCAGGATCTTTGGAAGAACAGCCAGTGCTCTTAATCTCCGAGCCGTCTCTCCAGCCCCCTTTCTCCATGTTTTGACAAATGATTTTCTTCTTTTTTTCCCCTTTTTGAGATGAAGTATCGTGTATCCTAGGCAAGCCTTGAACTCCCTATGTAGCAGGGGAAGACTCTGAACTTCTGATCTTCTACCTCTTGAGCAATATAATTACATGCATGCACCATCATGTCCATCTATGCTGGGAATCCAACCCAGGACTTCATGCCTTCTAGGTAAGCACTCAATTAACCGAGCCAAGTGCCTAATTCTTTCTTTTTAAAAATCATCCTACCTAAGCCATCTGACCAAATGCCACTGTTTCCATACTAACGAAGTTTTACTAGTGAGCATTCTGTTTGCTACAGTAGTTTGAATATGAGCAGCAGCTGTATTGCAAAACATATAACTGTGGGTTGCTATCAAAAGTTTGAAAGTCTTATACACATGTGTTTTTATCATTAGAAAAGGCATACCTCTGGGCAGCTGCTAAGATTATTCATGTTATCTAGCTATATGTCTATACTTCTGCTTGTCATATGGTATGCATACAGCAAACGTTTTATTGATGAACTAAAGAATTGAAAAACTAAAGCTGCAGGATAGAGAGAAATGCAATGTTTTGCTGCAAAGACATGCTTATTGTTCTAAAAGCAAAAGCAAACACTCTCAGTTGAATAGTGTTGCAGATTATATGGTCTTACAGGTTACCTCTGAATGAGCTGAGAATAGCTAAGAGATGTTTGTTAATAAGCTTTTCCAAGTTATGTCATGGGAAGCCACTGGCAACACAGGGAACACCAATTTACTGCAGCGCTGCTATGCAACAGGAGCCAGTGTTGTGCTGTGAGCTGTTAGCATGGAGCAGAATCTTGAGTCAGGCTCCTCTCCTCTTGTGGGAGATTGGTAGGCTGATCAGGCCCTTTCCTTAAACCCAGAAGCCTGCTGGGAGTGCAGACTCACAGGCCCAACTCTTAACAGTCACAATTGGTACCTCTAACATGTAATTCTTCTTCACATTCAATTCTGAGAAACATGTATCCAGACTGTCCTGAAACTCTGACACTCACACAGAAAATAAGGAATATTTCCTGTCGCCCAATGAGGATGGAATGAGAGAATTTTCTTCCTTTCTAAGACTGGTAGATAGGAATACACATACCTATTACAAATGTGCTATGAGCCTCAAACACTGTAAGAGAGTGCAAAAACAATCTTTTGTGGAATCATCTTTTGTTTATGAATGTTACCATATACAAAGAGCAAGACAAGTTCCCAATCTCAAGGAAGAAATTTAACAGTTCAGGGAGAGAAGCAAAATTAAGCTACTTACATCACTGCCACCTGCCATTCGTGACTGTTTAGTGCTGACTACAGATGCAATAGAAAGGAGATGAGAATGGGCTGCAGCAGCTAGGAGGCCCTGAAGGATAGGAGCTAAAAGGAAAGAAGAACCTGACTCACCGAAGCAGGTGGTGAGCACCCACTGCCTTAGCATAGCAGAGGCAAAGGAGGAGGACTGTGGGAAGCAGAGGTGAATCAGGCTGCAGTGGCAGGTGCAAGCTGCAGGTGGCTGTTTGAGGGTGTTTTTGTTTTGTCACCTCTACAATACTTTCTAAACCAGAAATGACTCTAAGCTGTGACATGCTTCACCACGTGGTGCAGACTGAAGTAAGCATTCAGACACGTAATCACTTGGGAAGAAACACACCTGACTTCAGTCTTTGTACATGAGAGTTGGCCAATATGTCTCACAAGAGTCAAGGACAGGCCTGTGTGGCTGGGCCATGTGGCAAAGCCACTGAAGACACTTTTTATTTTAGGCCTTCCTCTTTCTGGAAACCCATAATACCCAAGACAACTATTTGGTGAGACATATCCTTAAGAAAACAGGAAAAGCATTACTCCGGAGTTAAACAACTTGAAGGGCAGGCAGGGACTTACCTTCCTAATGGGGGAGATTTACTAACTTTTTCGCTGGTAGATAACTTCTCTTTTGCTAACTTTTCGCGATTTCTAGGAGAAACTGTTTCTGGGATGCCAAGTTTGGATGTTGCACGTGTAGATGGCTTGCTATGATGCTTTCTGAAACACATTATAGAGACACTGGGCAATAGTAGTACTGGATTCTCTAGGCCGTGGGACCACTGGAAAGGAAGAGATTTTGCATGGGCAAGACAGCTATGGAGACTCAAGGGATCAATGGGCTGGGTCTTTTGATCATTGCTAGTAAAGACCTTGGTGTCAGCCAGGACTAAACTTTGCTTCCAGGATATTGTTTTTGCTTTTTCTGTGCATATTTTACCGCAATCGAGAAGATGATTCTGAAAAATAGCAAATATACTGGCTGACAAAGATACCAAAGAGCTCATCAAAACAGAGTAAGAGGCTGAGGTCACTAAAGGCATGACTCACAGCACTGAATGCTAATGCTCCAAGGAATCAATGACACAAGAAAGATATCAGATTAAGTGAAGAGCTGACTTTTCAGAGAAAAGGAAGAAAAAGGATTTATTATTTGGTATGCATATGATTCAATCTGAAGCAATTCCAATTTGGATGCATACCGAAAATCAGTATCTATTAGACCAGAATAACAACCCTTCTGGATTACTCGGTCCATACTTGGTGTGGAGCATTTGTTTCTTAGAGAGGATATAGACTAGAGAGCAAACAATAAGATGTCAAGGAAGCTCAGGACAAGAAGAAGGCCTGGAAACTGCCCTCAAATACTTAAAGGGTATTAATATGAGACCCCAAGAGTAGAACTTGAAACAAGCGCAGAAGTGATAGAGAGGCTGGCTTCTGTAGTGCACAGGAAGAGAAGGCCAGGGAATAATGTGCACAAGGGCAGGACCGATACAGAGGAACTGCTGTGACTCAGGCACCCAAGATTAGCAGTACAAGAGGATCACAGTACATTCTGGAAGGCAGAGGCAGGCAGATCTCTGGGAGTTTGAGGTCAGCTGGTCTACAAAGAACTCCAGGACAGCCAGGGCTACACAGAGAAACTGTCTCAAAAACAAACAAACAAACAAACAAACAAACAAACAAACAAACAGGATCACAGTGACATCCAAGCCTAAGGGTCTGGGAAACCACACAAATATTAGAGCCCTGGGACCAATCAACCAACGCTGAGAAATTGAAGCCAAACTGAGAACAATCCGTTGATAAACCAAACATTCCTAAAGAAACTGACAATACTAGTAACGCAAGTGACCATTAGTTGATAAATTAAGTGACTTCTTTTTTTTTTTTTTAAAGATTTATTTACTTTATTACATACACAATATTCTGCCTGCATGTACACCTGAACACCAGAAGAGGGCACCAGATCTCATTATAGATGGCCACCATGTGGTTGCTGGGAATTGAACTCAGGAACTCTGGAAGAGCAAGCAGTGCTCTTAATAACCTCTGAGCCATCTCTTCAGCCTCAACTTATTCTTTTAAAAATGTATTTTCCTTATTCTTAAATGATGCCACCCACATATATAATACATCTTGGCTACTGTTTTGAAAGGCAACCTGCTGGTAATTTTTGGATACTCAAAAAAAGAGAAAGTCTAAGGAAGAACTTTGTGTAGGTGAGCTACATGCAGGGTGGCTGTACCCTGGCCTGTTCATTTTCTCTCACTATGACTCTTGGCTCAGTGATGTCTATTCATTTCAGCTAGTCCTCCTTTTCAACTCCTCTCCCCCAAAAGCCCAAATATTAGACCATTTTAACTTAGTCACGTGAACTCCTTGATTTTGTCTTTTGTACTAAAAATCTGACTTTTTTGAGAAATCAAACCATGTCACTAGAGGCTAATAATGTCTATGTTTGCAGGATTTAGAAATGGGTTGATTTAAATCTTTTTATAAACATGATACAGTATTACTACTATATTATGGTGTCAGGTGTTAATAGTAACACTTTTAAAGTAAATATTTCAAATATTTTCATTAATTTTGGAGAATGAAATTATAGAAGATTATGCCAAGACCAACAGTCGTGAATGACACTAGAAAATGGAAAATATTCTTTCTCTGGAAACCATGGTGAACATACGAAAGAACTGTGCAGCACCGCCACACACCATCTCCACGTATACAGTGGGGAAGGGGCACTGCTGGGGTAACAGGTACAGCGACATGGGAGAGGCTACGGAAGGGTCTTGTGGGCAAACAGTTTCCTTCCTTTAGGATTTTGCTAAGTCTAAAATATTTCAAGTACATTGACTTAGAAGAAGCAGAGAACTCAGGATTTTTTCAAACTCATTTTATCATATACCCAGTTTTTCCCTCAAAGGATTGTGCCTCTACCAGGGTTTGAGAGAACATACTTTAGAGAAACATGGAAATTCAGGCAGTTTATCAGGGGCAGCACAGGTGATGGCTATGTTTGGACCTCTGGGCTTTCTCATGGTCCTCAGCACACAATGTCTGAGACAGTAGATGCTTAAAATAATGTCTGGAGAGAATTGACAGGTTTCATCCAAAAAGCTTTAAACCAGTCAAAGACTCTGAAGTAATCCCCCAGCACCTGAGACAGAGAACACATTCTGTATGAGGTGAGAAATTCAGGAAGAGAACACGGAAAGGAAATGGTTTCAAGAGAATTCCATGACACCAAGAGCTGCTTCCAGACAGGGCAGCTGCCGAAGGCCTCTGGAGGCTCCTGCTTGCTCCCATTACCTCTGTGCCTCTGATCTGGTGGTTGATCTCGTGGTGGCTCCCAAGGGCTCATCCTCCTCCTCTTCTTCCTCTTCCTCATCAGACTCCTGATCTCTTTTGTCCTCAGATGTTTCAGAAACTGATTTCTGGCGCTTTCTTTCTGGCTCTGAGGATTCTGTTCAGACAGAAGGGTAACACCTGGACTATACAATTCCCAAAGACACTTCCAAAGGATAGTAATGGTGTACAACTTAGGATATTAGCAACTTGGAAGCAGAAGAAGTGGTTTTCCACTTCCTTTTTGTTTCAGTACTTGCAATTCACAACTGTTTACCTTAATCTCAAACACATTTGGGATAGTTTACTTATACAGCTCACAGCCAGCATTTGCAAAAAATTCACATGTACTCAGAAAAGCATCTGGGATGTGCCATTTCTGGCAGGGATTAAGCCATTTCACACACATTCATGCAACATTAGTTCTAGCTGCGCCTGCCTGGATTTTTCTACATCCAAAAAAGATTTGTTAAAACGTGGGATTTTTGAAATAAAACTACAATTAACAATGTACAGATGTATGCATTTCTTGTTTTTTTTTTTTTTTTTTTTGTCCTCTATTTGCTTTGTTCTATTTTTGTTTTTGCTTTAAATTGGCCTGTTGTTTTCTAAAGTGTGGGAAGGGAGAGGCAAGAACGTGATAGACTCATACCAGCATCATCTGATGAAGTCAGTGAGCGTTTGGGCTTTCTTCCTCTCCGGCGCATACTCGCTGTTTTTTCTTCACTATCATCCTAGAAGCAATAGCATTAAAGTTGATAGGGTGTTTAGCTGAGTATTTATTAAGTTTATTTATAAAAGATACATCTTGATAAAACCTAGCACTTACATTGCTTGTATTTTTTTCTTGTAGGTTGGCTGTTTCTTTATTGGACTCATCTTTAAAAAAAACAAAAAAAAAATTAAATTTCAACAGTAGGTCTGTCCTGTTATCTGTCATCATTCCAATGCTAATATACTGTTACACAATTCATTATTTGGAATTTTTTTCTTCCAGATTTGGGAATATCACTAAATACTATAATGAAAGATCTTAGGAAGGTAAACCACATGTAAACATAATACTTGAGGTCTGGGGAGATAGCTAGCTCGGTAAGTAAAATGCCTGCCTTGAAAGCATGAGGACCCCATTTCAGATCCTAGAACCACCATGCTGGGGAGATGGAGAGAATGCCTGTGGCTCACGGCCAGCCAGTCTAGCCCACTGCTGATCTCCAAGCTGATGAGGGACCGTGTCTCAAAGGAGGTGGATGATATTCCTGAAAACAATGATGAGGTTCCCTCTGGCTTCCACATGCAGGTGCAGACATGTGTACATGCAAGTAGGTCACCTGCCTTACTCTCATATACACATATAAAAACACACACAGAATGCACTTGTACTTCATATATGCCTCATTCACATGACCAGAAGGTAATTATTATATAGTATTTTTAGTGTGTCTGAGTGCAAACCATCAGACCAGCTACAGAAATTTCCACTTTAAACAATGGAAAGGTTTTGGATTTTGAAGCATTTCATGTTTGTAATTAGAGATGCTTCTTTTAAGTCTCAGTACTGCTCTATAAATCTTTTAAGCTCAGTTCAGTCTGGAAAAAATTAGGCTTAAGGAACTTAATTTATATAACTTGTCCCGTCACACAATTAATAAGTGGTGGTATTTGGACTCTTTTTACTCCAAATACACATATCAGGAAAACAAATAAAAATACATTAGAAGTCTATTGGTATGCTATGCTTTATTCTTTAAACATTTGTATATTATATAGATGTTACAATTTTCTGAGAAAGTGTTACTGTAAGGAAAATAAAAATTAGGTGGGATATTATTTCAATGTAAAATCATGGGCAAATACTCAAAAACTCAAGAGTGTTTTTTTGGGGGGGAGGGGCATATCATCTAATTTTGTAGCCAAGGCCACTACACTGTTCTTCAAAGGTCGGTGAAGACAGTCATATTTTCTTTTTCCTGAAGATTCGCTACAATAATGAATGGAAAAGTTACGATTAAGATCAAATCTGTCCTATGCTGGTCACCATTACAGTCACAGAAAGTAACAAAAGCAAAACCACTATGTGATCACATAGGTTAGAAGCTTTAAAGTGAGTTCAGGTATAAAGATTTCTTATTGTATGGACTTACGATCCTACAATAAAATCAGAAGCAGAATCCTTCCTTCTTTAATAACAACAAGAAAAAGAAGTAAAACCAAGAGCTGGAGAGATGGCTTGGAGGTTAAGAGTGCTGTCTGTTCTTCCAGAGGTCCTGAGTTCACTTCCCAGAAATCACATAGTGATTTACAACCATCTATAATGAGATCTGATGCCCTCTTCTGACATGGGATGTACGTGCAGATAGAGCACTCATATACATAAAAATAGATGACAAATAAACATAAAAAAAAAAAAGCAAAACCAAAAAACCCCAAACCCAACCAACCTTAATTTACCAAGAGACAAGAAAAGAAAATGAAGCAAATAAAAAGTTTACAGATAATTAGGTGTATAAATGTTGTACACAGGTTTATGTACTTGCTGTATCTTGTTGAGCATACTGTATGGTTTCCCAAGCTGACTGTTACCGATTTACACAAACAGCTGTCATATTCATTCTCTCTGCATATTGTCAATCCTTTCTATACACTTTCTTTCTCACATTAAAAAATCCTTAAGCTATGAGGTTAAAATTTAAACAGTTAAAAATAAAGAAAAGGCAGACTAAATAATAAGGAATTCTTCTATTAGCCTCCCATTCAGGGACAACCATTACCAACATCTTGGATTTCTTTTTCTGTTTGGAATGAGGACAAAAACACTTGAAGTGATAAAGTAAGACACAGAGGTTTCTGTTACAGATTACTGTCTCTCTGAACACAGTAAGTTTCTGAGATAAGCAGTCACCTTTGAGGTAATACAGCTCTAAAGAGCTACATTTTCCATTTCATCCCAACAAAAATGCAGCAAACTTCAGCTTGGACACTGCAGTGAATTTATCTCTAGCCTTCACTATTTTGCTTTCTACTGCCTTGTCCTTCTGCAATGACAGTATCCTAGACTCAAACTCAGACTAAAGAAAAAAAAAAAAAGTAAGTATATGTAAGTTTCTTTTCGAATCAGTCAACTTATTTCATTGAGAAACAATGAAATTCTAAAATCTCTCCCAACAGCCAGGCTAGGTTCCCTGCTCAAGCAGGAGAACACACTGTTAAGAAAACCACTCAATCCTCATCCCAAAAGGCAAAGAGGATGAACATCAGAAGAAGAAAACAAGAAACAAGTTAGGAACCTGCCACAGAGGGCCTCTGAAAGGCTCTGCCCTGCAGACTATCAAAGGAGATGCTGAGACTTATGGCCAACTGTTTGGCAGAGTGCATGGAATCTTATGTAAGAAGTGGGAAACAGTAAGATCTGGAGAGGAGAGGAACCCCAGAAGGAAAACAACAGAACCAAAAAATATGAATACAGGGGTCTTTCCAGAGACTCATACTCCAACCAAGTACCAGGCATGGAGATAACCTAGAACCCCTGCACAGATGTAGCCCATGGCAGTTCAGTATCCAAGTGGGTTCCATAGTAATGGGAACAGGGACTGCCTCTGACATGAACTGATTGGCCTGCTCTTTGATCACCTTCCCCTGAGGGGGGAGCAGCCTTACCAGGCCACAGAAGATGACAATGCAGCCACTCCTGATAAGATCTGATAGACTAGTATCAGAAGCAAGGAGAGGAAGACCTCCCCTGTCAGTGGACTTGGGGAGGGCATGTGTGGAGAAGGGGAAGGGAAGGTGGGACTAGGAGGGGAGGAGGAAAGGGTTTATGGGGAGAAACAAAGTGAATAAAGTGTAATATAAAAATTAAAAAAAAAAAAAAAAGAAAGAAAACCACTCTTGCAGCTCAGTTTCCATGTGGGTCTCCAAGTGAGGGGAACGGGGTGGCCTGTCATGAACTTGGTTGCCTGCTCTCTGATCCACTTGCCCCTGATGATGTAGCCTTGCCAGGCCACAGAGGAAGAGGGTCCTGGCAGTCCTAATGAGACTTGACAAGCTACGGGCAGATGGCAAAGGAGGAGAACTCCCCCTTTTAGTGATTAGGGGAAGGGGATAGGAGGGAAGAGGGAGGAAGGTTGGGACTGGGAGGAGTTGAGGGAGGGGGGCTTCAATCAGGATATATAATGAATAAATTGAAAAAAAAAAAACACTCTTAAATGTTCTTGCACATAAACTGAAAAGACCTCACCTTATTAGACTATAGGCAGACAAGGGCTCGGCACATACCTGCTTGGCTGCCTTTCAGTTTGCTGCCAGTTGGAGATTGTTCTACCTAAAGGAGCAAAAATCAACAAGAACAGTTTGTCATTACTATACAGAAAGGCAACAAATATTTTTTAAGGCCTTTACTCATGTAATCAGAATAGTGGGGATCTATTTCCTGTGGCTGGTCAAGCAAGTGTGGTTGCCCATGCTTTGGAGCAATCTCTGACACAAAGTGTCTTCCCCCCACTTGGTTGCAACTCTGGAGACTAATTGCCACATCACTGAAACACGATCAAAGTTGTCCATTTTCCCTGAGGGAAGCCAGCAAGCCATTCCACAGGAGGTTCTCCTTCTGCAGTCTTACAGTACTATGACAGAAATACTTTAGGTACTATAGTATTGTACTACTTTATAGCCAAGGTTGCAGTCTTGGGAGAATTACACGACTGGCCATGAGTCACAGGTCTGAGAGAAAGTGACAAAGCTAAAGTTTAAATTCAAAGTGATGTTTTTCTAAGTCACCACTCACCGCCATTGAAATAAATGGAATGAAATCCTCATATGATGACTTCACTGTGTATGTACTTCAGAGTCAGAAATAAGAACATTTAAAGAGATAAAGTAGTAGTCCTGGGAGATGGCTTGTTAATAATGTGCCTACTTCATAGACATGAGGACCTAATTTGGGATCCTAGCAACTACGTAAAAAGCTGGGTGCAGCAGTGCACCTTTGTAACCCAGAGTTTGAGGAAGAGATAAGTGGATCCTAGGAGTTAGTTCACTGGTCAGGCAACCTATCTAAATCCTGAGCTACAGGTTAACTGAGAGACCCTGTCTCACAAAATAAGGCAGACAGTTCTAAGAAAGCCATCTAATGTTGACCTCTGGCCTTCATGTGCACACACACACATGCACGCACTCACCCATGTGCTCGCACATGGACACGTGCACACACTATATCCACATCCACACAAACAGCACTGACGATTACCCTGCACTCAAATCAGTGCATATCGCGTATACAAACAATTCAAGAGAAAAATCATAAGGCAGCAAGGGCCATGAGAAAATTCCCTTGGAAAGTCACTACTCAAAAATTACATGGGACAGCGAACTTCTATATTTTAACCAAGGCTGTCTAATTTTACATAACTAAACTCCTAGGAATGGATGGAACTGGCTTAAGAACAGCTGTCGGAACTCTGTCCACAACAAAATACTGCTAATCAAGGCATTATCTGAATGGCTAGACCATGTTTTAATAAAGTCTTTTGAAGTACTTAAATAAAACAAAGTAGTTTACAGCACAAGGTGTCACAGGCCAAGAGCACCCATCTGAATGGTTCTTATCTCATCCTTTACAATTACTTACAGTGGTAATGCTAGTCTCTGCTTTGGAGTCTTCTTCTAAAAAAATAAAATAAAAATTTACTTAGAAGGTCAATTCAGAAAGTATTTTGTATGACTGAAAATGTATCAAACACGTACTTGATTTCAAGGCTGTTTCTGCCGGGTATTTGCGAGGTCTTCCCCTTTTCCTTTTAATAATTATTGGCTGGTCATCCTACGAAGAAAATGAAAAAAAAATCCCCATCAATAAAAGAGTAATTTACCCCCAATGTATCAATTAAAAGTTCCCTTACTAAGAGGAATGAAGCCCAGCCTACATGCAGTGTTGGAAAGTCTTGTATTTATTCACACTGCAGTCCTCTTGAATCCCACGCAAGTAACAAGTGCTTAGAGAGTGTTGTCCCAGACAAGAGCTACATCCTGGATTTGCTTTAAGCTAATTGTGGTAATGTTATCTGTCCTATAAAAAATAAATAATCTAGTGAATCTCTTATAAGAAACCACTAAAGAGTTGGTAAACTAGCCATGGCTGGTTTGGGATTTAGAGGTCTATCTCAGGCTACTGTCATTCTCTGACCCAGAAGCTATCTATCAACTTGAATGTGCTGGAAGTAGGCACACTGGCTGGACTCGGTGAAGCTGCAGCCTCCTGGGAAGCCATTGTCTTGCGTCACTAAGCTAGGTCTCTTTGGGCCCTCCTGCTGCTGTTCCCATTTCCTCCTGCAGTGCTCAGCTGCAAGGCCAGGAACCTGACACTGCCGCTGGCACAGTGCTGAACTGACCCTATATATGGATGACATAAGTAGGTTTTATATAAATGCTTAGATGAAATAAGAGCAAGCGCACAAAATTAATCAGAACGACATTCATAAAGCACACTGCTTAAAACAGTATGCTACTGCATTGAAATGGTTAAAAAGTACTTATGAAAAACTCATGTAGAGGTAATGACACATTTGGAAGTTATTCTGAGAGAATAAACACGAAAACCAATTCTTACCTCTTGTGACTTCACACTGTCATCTTCATTCAGCTCAGTCTTTTCGCCTGTACCCTCACTGCTGCTAAATTCATCTGATGAAAAGGCAAAACTCAATGCAGTGCTGTTGACCAGGTAAGCTTTTATCATGCCCCAGAGAATCAGCATAATCCCAGATACACATGATCACTTCATTTGCATACTTCCATTATTAACCAATAAGCCCAGTAATAGTTAACTAAGAAACACCACCCTTTGAGAAAAGAGTTCAACTTAAAAGATAATCTCCAGCTTTACAAACTTAAGCATAAGGTTCTGTGCTTTCTGGATGAAGCAAATAGGCAAAGGGATGTCCCAGCAGGTGATGCTTATGCAAGGTGTGGTGTTATGGGGACTCATCCTCCAATACTCCCATGGAGGGCTTTCACGCACCTCTGTCTTCCAAGGCAGTGTTGTTTGTCTTTGAACTTATTCTAGAGAATTCCTCCTGATCTCCAGAGTTCTCTTCCTGTAGACAAGTTGAACAAAACCAGATGGTTCATTTTCAAATTTAACTCTGTCACCATTCACACTTCCCTGAGTTTCTTTCAATAACACTTTTCTAGTTATCATTTAGAATAGTTTGAGGGGCTGGAGAGATGGCTCAGTGGTTAAGAGCACTGTCTGCTCTTCCTGAAGACCTGGGTTCAATACTCAGCACCCACATGGCAGCTCACAACTGTCTGTAACTCCAGTTCCAAGGGATGTGACAACCAAGGCACATAAAATAAAAATAAATAAAGAAATTTAAAATGCCTTACTAGAATAGTTTGATAAATGCTTTGGAAAAAATAAAAACATTATTTCAGTTAGTGGAACTGTTAATAGAAGATTAAAAAACCAAAAATGTACTTTGTCTTTTTTTTTAAAGATTTATTTATTATTTATACAATATTCTGTCTGCACACCAGATCTTACTATAGATGGTTATGAGCCACCATGTGGTTGCTGGGGATTGAACTCAGGACCTTTGGAAGAACACTGAGTGTTCTTAACCTCTGAGCCATCTCTCCAGCCCGTACTTTTGTCTTTTTAACAGAAACTCCAAAGGAAGAACTACTATAAATTGCATTTCTTTATGGAGTGGTAGAGGACAGAGGCATATGCCAAAAAGAATATCTGGGGATTCAAATAAACTAGTTTAGAGCAATAACCTCCAGCAGTTAGATTATTTACCATTAGTTGAAAAAAGGTTTCAACTGCAAGCTACAATAATGACTGGCCTGGCACAACATACCCACAGGTGCAACAGTGGCATCAACATCATGGAAATAACCACCACTTTCAGACTGAAGGCCCACTCCACAAGATGGAAATCACACCTGAAACTATTTGCTGGGCCAAGAACCTATAGGTTTCCTGCTATTCCTGTGAACTACTGCTAATGACTTATTGTTATACCCATAAATGTATCTCTTAGCCCTCATCAGAGAAGCTTGTATTTGTAGTAGATATAGATTGACACAGAAGCCCACAGCTGGCCAGGGTGCAGAAAATACAAAGACTGTTGACTGCTCAGCACTAAATGGGACATCTATATCACAGTCCCTCCTCCAAGGCCCAGGGATCATCACAGAAGGAGGAGCAGAAAGACTGTAAGAGCCAGAAATGGTGGATGAATACAATAAAACACAATAATACAATAAAAGGCTAGTTTCCATATTAAATATTCACAGAGAATTTTAGAATAGTTTTATATAAAAAGTAGAATTAAAAGGAGTTCTGCCACTTTTAAAATATTCCAGTGGCTTCTTATTCAGCTAGCCTTGGAGGGCACATGTTTAGAAGTTGAAGGGCCCACCTGTGAAAACCTAACAGCTGTCTCGAGAGCAAATTATTTACTTTGCCCTCACTAATATTCAGGCTCATGTATATAGTGAGTTTCAAGCTAGACCCTTTTTTATGTGCTGGTGGGTGGGAAGATAAAAGCTGTGCCTTTGTTAGTTTGCTCAGGCTCAGGCGTAGCTGAAGATGCTGCCCTGTCTTCATGTCTGGGACAAAATGTATTTCTGCTTAAGAGATGATTCTTTCACAGTAAGCACTATGTCCCTCAAGAACTCTACCAGCTCCTGACGTTACATGTGAACTTATTTTTATTTTCAGTTTTCCATTTTTCCAGTGCCTGGAGTTTTTCCAATTTCAATTTTATCTCTTTTCAGTCTTGACAAGTTGACATACCAACCTGACAATGACTTTACTCCCCCCCCCCTTTTTTTTTTTAAATATCAGTGCTGTCCCATTTGGAGACAAATTATTATTATTATTATTTGAGAGAGTGGCTCCTGATATATTTTTATTTATTTATTTTGCAATTAACTTTTTATTGGTCTCTGGGACCCAGGTCCAGACACGTTGCTTTCTGGAACATGATATAAATATGATAGCTACCAGCAACATGGAACATTTCCGTATAACTTAACAAAAACAAAGTAAGTTAAAAGCTTATTTTTCCCAGCACACTTCAAGGGCTTGATAATTATTCAGTAACACAGATACAGTGTTATTGAAGGAAATTTCTTTTGGAGCTTCTAGCTTTGCCTCAAGGATCTTATCAACCTTCCCTTCTCTCCTCCAGAGTATTCTTTTATTTTTGTTTGTTAGCTTTTTTTATAATAATTATTATTTTTTATATTAATCACAGGTTACTTACTTTGTATCCTAGCCATAGCCCCGTTCCTCATTCCCTCCCAATCCCACCCTCCCTCCCTCATCTTCTCCCTGCCCCTTTCCAAGTCCACTGATAGGAGAGGACCTCCTCCCCTTCCATCTGACTCTAGCTTATCAGGTCTCTTCAGACTGGCTGCAATGTCCTCTTCTATGGTCTAACAAGGCTGCTCCTCCCTCGGGGGGTTGGCAGGATGTCGAAGAGCTAGCCCTTGAGTTCATGTCAGAGACAGTCCCTGTTCCCCTTACTAGGGAAGCCACTTAGGTGCTGAGCTGCCACGGGCTACTTCTGAGCAAGAGTTCTAGGTTATATTCATGCATGGTCCTTGTTTGGAGTATCAGTTTCAGAAAAGACCCCTGAGCCCAGATATATTTGGTCCTTGTGGCACCTGTCCTCTCCAGGTCTTACTAACTCCCCCTTCTTCATATTATTCCCTGCACTCTGCCCAAAGTTTGGTTATGAGACTTAATATTTGCTTTAATACTTTGCTAGGTAGAGTCTTTCAGGGGCCCTCTGTGACAAATTATTTTTTAAAGATGTATTTACTTATTTATTTATTCATCTCTCTCTCTTTCTCTCTCTAATATATAGTGTTCTGCCTGGAAGCCAGAAAAGGGCATCAGATCTTATTATAGTTGGTTGTGAAACATCATGTGGTTGCTGGGAATTAAACTCAGGACTTGGAAGAGGACCCAGTGCTCTTAACCTCTGAGCCATCCCTCCAGCCCCAACTTTATTGCTTCTAGTAGTGATACTACCTTACTTCATAGACTGCCACAGGAGTGGTAAATCACTCCCAACCTAGTCTACATATCACTACTACTGTAAAATGGGATATTAAAAAACTTCTGAACACAGCTTCCCTGCAGAAAAACACTATTTCATAATACTGAAAATATTACCAGGGGATGCTTTTTTGTGTTGAAGGACTGAAGATGGAACTCAGGGTCCTATGCACTCTATCTGTGAAGTATTGGATTTTACTTCAATTCATTATTTAAAGAACTTACATGAAACTGAGGAGAAATAAAAAAAGCTTCTCCTTCAAATTGCTTCTCTATTAATTTAAGACTATTTATTATCTTATGATCCTAGCTATGAATAGGAGTGAGGAATGAGTTAAGAGTCTTTTTTTTTCCCCTAGGCTGACTCACCGAAATTCATGGTACTATGCTACTTTTCCTTCTTGTTAATAGTCTTTTCTTTTTATTTAGTTTTCCAGTTCTTGTGGGCACAAGGAGAACAGCTTTAGTGAGCTGAAAGCTAGCTTTTACAAGAGAAACAGAAGATACTGAGTAGCCAGTCTCAGAAATGGAAGAACATTGAAGAGGTACACAGCAGAAAGTGTATCTGGATCAGCAGGAAGGGCAACACAGGGAAGGCAAGCACCCACAAGCAGCTCCCTTGAATCCTGGGACAAATACAAAAGCTATGGGGAAAGTGCTGATCTGGGACTGCCAAAATTGGGCCAGAAAGTCCTTGGACAGAGGCAGCACATCAACATGTTTAACTCACACGCATCACCACTGGCAAATGTACAACTATGATAAAAGCATATCAGAGCAGGAAAAAAACTTCTGGAAACCTTGAGAAATAAGTAAGACCACTGAGAAAAATTATAATCAAGCATATTACTATAATCTTGTAGTTTATGCTTATAAAGTAAAAAATGTGTACATCTTTGGTAACAAGCTGATTATTGTTAGATACAGAATATAAGGTTAGTAGAATAAAAATTTTGAGTATTTACAATGATGCAATTAGGCTACCGCCAAACTTAAAAACTAATCAGTAGGAAGATACCTTTGTGTCATGTGGCTCAGTCTCCGAATACTGTCTCTGTGCTGTTTCTATTCTGGAATCCAGGACATCTGGGCTATCATCTGTAAAACAGTTCGGATAGAATCACAAAAGAACAAAAATTGACTGAAACTGAAATACAGTTCTATTTTAGGCCAGTTGGAGACTTCTTTTTTTTAAGGTTTATGATACACTGAAGCCAAAAGTTATTCTAAGTATTTTAAAAATTTTATGAGACTCAACATTGGCCTTTGGCTTACTGAAAAACAGGAGAATAAAAAAAAAAAAAAATCTCCAATCAGGGCATGACAGTTTAGTCTAAGAACTCAGAAACGGAGACAGGAGTACTGCCAGTTCAGGGCCAGTCTCGACAACATCTCAATACCTTGCTTCAAAAGCAAAACAAAGCAACCATCAAAAAGCTCAAACGATACCAAGACGTCTAGTGGGAAGGGCTGGGTGCTTGGAGTTCTATCCAAGAGGCACAGCCTTGAGCTTGAGACCTCGGCTATGGAAGCAGATTTGCTTGAGGAAATATGGTAAGACTGTCAGAGCTTTAGCCTATATTTACTATATGCTATGAGGATAAACTGGGACTCTATATAAAGTACATATATGTATGTACTTTAATATAGGATTTAAAATATAATCTCAATTTATGACTACAAAATAATCACAGACTTCTAATTTAAAAAGGAGAACACATGTATTCTTTCTCAGATGTTCACTGACTTAAGTATTTAATGAGTTTCTACTTTGTGTCAGACATGGCAGTCACTAGCAACATGTATTTCAATCTTACTTTGTAAACTGGTTAGGTCTGGATCTTATTGCTCAGTCTCTTGAAAATCCAGGTCCATGCCATCAGACCCAGCATTAAGACAGAAAACTCCATGGCTCTATGCCATTATGTATTTAGATTTATTACTATGGCCCATATTAACTAATAACACTGAAAAAAATTAACTAAAAAAAAAAAAAAAAAAAAAAAAATTCAGGGTTGGTGAGATGGCTCAATGGTTAAGAACACTGGCTTCTCTTCTAGAGGTCCTGAGTTCAATTCCCAGCAACCACATGGTAGCTCATGACCATATTTAAAGGGATCTAATGCCCTCTTCTGGCATGTAGGTATACATGCAGACAGAGCACTCCTATAATTAAAAATAAAAATAAATAAGTTTTTAAAAATTTCAGTCTTTTGTCCACACTGACCATATCCATATTTTCCAAAGCCTCTAGTACCTAGGAGCCAATAACTATGAAACATTTTCACTATCAGTATATGATATGAAAGTTCAATTATATGGTTGTTACAGGCCATGACAGCAACAGAATGAGGCAATTATCACATGTGCCTTGGCTAAAGTGCCTCACTAGCTCTAGCCAGTATCTACCCACAACAAAACCATAATGTTCAGTGCCACCTGGCCCAGTCATAGGCCCCCATTAGAGATTTATGAGATGTCTACAACTTGGGTTTCTGCAGGAAATAATTTAATTTCTGAATCCAAGACTGAAAAGTTCCTATTGGTGTCTCAAATTAGCCTCAAAAGTAATGCAGCAAAACAGTTACTACGTTCATGAGAGATTTTCTTGTCCCACATTATTAGATATGAATGTTAACTTTTGGACATCTAAAACAGAAGCACATATGAATACCTAGTTCATCTTCTGAGGAGGGGTAATGTTGCTTTCTGTTTCTTTTAGATAAGTGCCTTTCTTCCTCTTCAACCTGAAATTAACAATGGACATGTCATAGGCAGCAGGATCTGGATCACATCAGTTAAAGTAGGGGTGCACAATAATAGCTTTTATCACTTACAGTAAACAGATACATTAATGAAAAAGAACTGTACTAGCACCTCTGCTAAGACTGAGCTGATGAATGGCAGTGCAGAAAGGTGAATTGTGACCATACAACAGGAATACAATACCTAAGCACCACAAAAGTATAAGCAGGTTACAAACAACATGTAAATTCTAACATCCATCTAATTTATTAAAAAGAAAAAAAAAAGTACTTGGGCAGCACAAACTGGTATGGAAGAACTTAAAATTCTTGAAAAACACACATACACAAAGTTGTATGGGTAGAAAAGTTCAGGTAGATGGGGAAGAATTGTGGGAGGGCAAATATGATCAAGTGATACATAAAACTTTCAAATAACCAATCAACATACAAACAAAACAAAAAGAAATAAAGCCTTTCTAACACCTTTCTTCAAGCAGAGGTGAAAACCCTACATAAAACACAGGAGCCCGAGTGAACTCTGGAACACACCTCTCCAGGATCTTCTTCAATGCTGCAACCGCTTAGGGCTTCTGTGCTGTCTTTTCTACCACTGAGTACTTCTGAATGGTAAATACAACAGAAAATCATATTAAATCTTTGAAATAAAACATCTGGTTAGGGAAAACTGTCTAGCCATCCCTTTGAGTGGCACTTATGCAGTAGGCACTGTGGATGACAGTTCAGAGGGCTTTTGATGGATTCTCACAAGAACACCACTGGGGACACTCCATTGTTTGTCACTGTTAAATATGAATAAACAAGGCCCAAGCAAGAAACGACTGTCAGTACCACAAAACTGAATTCTAAACTGAAGACTTCAGGCCTTCTTCTTTCAGCTTTTTAGCCAGTGTTAGGTGTCCAAAGATTCCCCATGCAGTGCTGCACCACAGCCATGAGATCAGCAAGCATTACAGCCCAACGAGGTCAAGCACAATGCCAAGTGTGAAGTGGCAACTATACCAGCTGAAGACAAGCTAGCATTCACTATATTGATGGTATGCTTGTTACCAAGCAAATTTAGAGACACAGAACATGCAAGGTAATACTCTGTAATTAGAAAAAGCTGTTAAGGGCTGCAGAGATGGCTCAGCCGGTAAAGGGTAGGCTCACAACCATAAATTTAAGAAAAAGCTGTTAAAAAAATTGGAATGTTCACCAATAAAACCGAAGCAAAAAAATAACTGTGGCATATCCATACAACATAATACTAACTAGTGTTACAATAAGGTAACTGGACTTACATAGAATAAAGAGGACAGAGCCTTAGAACATACTGCAAAGTAGGCAAATATGATGGAAATGGTTTGTAAAATGTGGTTACCTAATTTACCTAAACCAGGGAACATATGCTACACATCTTTATGAAGCTAAAATCATACCTAGTAAATGCAGAATAGTGGTTCCCTTTGGATAGGATAAAAGAGAAAGAGATTGTGACGAGGAAGCCCTATCATAAGGACTCACTACATTTGTAAAATTTTAATAGGTGAGTGAGACAAATATGCCAAATTTTACGGTATGACAAACGAGGTGACACGCACGTAAGTGTCTATCAATCAATGCCACTATTTTGTTCTGGTCTAAAATATGATGCCATATATCAGAACTAAGTATATGATATAAAGATCATTCTCCAATCTTAGATTACAGAATCAACAAAATTAGCAAAAAACAACAAAACTTCACATGCTGGTTGAGAGCAGAATTCTCTTTTTGGAACGAGTGGCCTTCAAAGGTTATGTGTAACAAGGACTCACTTACAAGAACACAATTTCCTGATCTGTTATTACGGTGAGCCCGTGAGAAGTTAACAAATGCTCAGCTGGAAGCATGGCACAGTATTTCATTTTTTCTATCATAAAAATCCCATGAGACTGTGCAGGTTGCGCCAACATGGGACTGAACCCACTGAGGTGTCTGGCAATGTTCTTGTAGTTAGTTAAAGTCAAATACCACTTCTTAGCTGGAAAGGCAAATTACTCATTCTCTCTCTCAGCTATTTCCTTAACTATAATTATGATATTTAATGTTTACTTATTGGATTACGTAAATGACAGGAGGACATTTGCAAAGGAAGAGAGTAGAACATAGCATGTGCAAGACTGTCACTAAAATTACTACGGTGGAATTCAGTAACTTACCTTCTTTGTTTTGAGATTCACAGTGAATTTCTTCATTGATTCTTAACTCTGAATTTTCAACCTAAAGATACAACAAAAGGGTTCTTTATGGATAGTCTCACATAAACTTAAGGGCATGTAACAAGACACGTGTGTAAACTGGCTGTTCACAAATGCTGTCAGGACTGGGTGCATGTTCTCTTAAGTTTACCCTGACGCTCAAGGGTACAGAAGGCCTTCTCTGTGAGAAAATTCTAACCTACTAAGTTATCATGCTTTAGTGTTTACTCTCCTTGTCTTTAAAATGATTTTGGAAAAAGTTCAAGCTTCAGAATTCTTCATTTAAAGCTCTTACAAGTTCTCCTCTTTATCTGTAAAGGATTCTGAGTGTGGTGTACAGCTCACACCTGCTATCCTGGCCCTGGGGAAGCTGAGAGAGAAGGGCGGCAACAAGCCTGAGGCTGGCTGCCTTACATAAGAAGCAATAGCTTATATAGCAAGACCCTGTTTCAAAAAGTTAGAAACCCCAAAACAGAACTCCCAAGTATTTTTTTGTCATTAAATTATCTATTTGGCAAATTTTGTCAATCACACGATTTAAAACTATACAGTCTCAATGTCCTACAATAGTTTACAAGCCCGGCTGCAGACCTGTATGACCACTGCACTCTGCTGGGGACTTGAGAGTGAGGGGATTGCACATGCTGCCTGGTGCTGTTGGTTTCAGCTTGGAGAGCAAATTAGAGCCCCACCACAGGGACTTCTCTTTCTTTTCAGCATAGTCTCTGAGCATCTAGGTACAGAACTGTGTAGTTCAAAACTGAAGTAAGGACTCTGACCCCACAGTGGCAGCAGTAAGCAAAGCTCTCCCATTTTTTCCAGGACATAGGAAAGCATGGCTAATTGAGATTTGTGAGTGTTTTATATAAAAATGTTCACCCCTAGTGTTAGGTTCCCTATGGATATGCTGAGGCAAAACAAAAACAAAACTTTCAAAGGAATTCAAAGCAATTGTGAGAATCACATCTGGAGAAAAGTGTTTATTACAACCACAGTTCAGTCTCTTCAGACAAGCTTTCATAGCATGAAATGAAATCTAACTCTCAAAGTATTTTGTCTACAGTGCCAGGAAAATGTAAGATATTACAACTGATTTTGCAATTCTATTACAATAAGAACCAGAAAGCCCCAGAGTTCTTTATCAATGTAGGTGAATATGGAAGAGGTCAAGTAAAGGCTGCTGTTAGCATGTTGAACTTGTGTGGAGAGCATGCTACCACATGGCCTCCTGCACAGACAATTCCTTGCACACTGCTTATCTCTTTTGTACTCATCCACAAACAAAAACAATCATCAACAGATCAAACTATTACATTCACTTACATTTACTGATTCCCTCATCAATGACGTGTCCTTCTGTAGTTCAGCTGTTCAAAAACAAGAAGGGGCAGAAGGAAACAATGTTTGAAATGTAGAACACATTTAAAGACTTCCAGAGCAGAGGTGCTACACAAGACAATGTCAAATGACCTCTATTTTTGTGAATCATAAAACTCTGACCAATCATTTTTTTACAACCTGTGTTCTGCATAGTACCAGAAAAACAGCTTGGATTTTTATGATAGTGTCTATAGCCCAATAAGTCACTGCAGTGATTTAACCATTTCAGTGACCTGCAGCTAAAGAAAAGGCAGAAGACCTTAATGTTATCTGCCAAACTGCAATTTAAAACTGACTCATTTGAAAACAATACCATCAGATGAAAGGTTAGATCCTTTCCCCTCAGCAATGGTCTGTTTATATTCATTGGAACTTGAAGTACAAAGCCTACTGTTTCTCCTCAACAATGACAGAATATACATTTTTCTTTTAAATAGCTTCCTTCTATGTAAATAGATCTCTTATTGAATTGTACCTGAATACATTAAAACAGTATAAAACTAGACATGGGAACCGAAGACTGAGAATATAAGCAATATTTTCTTCTTGACAGCAAACACTGTGTACTATTGAAACAGCCATCCATACTCATTTAACTAATTTATTCATGTTTGGATTATTTAACTTCAGCATGAATGACTCAGCATCTTGGAACACTCTTTGAGGACTGTGAATTTCTGTTTAGAAGGCTTCTGAGGCTATTTCAGGTATTTTTGTCCAGAAAGATCCCCAATTATGGCCTCTCCTCCCCAGCTTCCCAGATAGCAGTCATGATGTGGATTTATATGTACTAGTCCTTGAATTTGAATGATCTGCTTTTACTGCATCTTAGTTGAATTGCAGCATGTACCTCGGTTCTCATAGCACCTAGCCTAATGTTTTGTCAGTGAAATATTTTAAAGAGCTGAGTTAACTATAGTAGATATTATAGCTGTCACTCTAGCATCTTCTAAATGAACCCAGACTCTGGTATGCAATGCTTCAGTACCAGAAACAGAGCACTTGGCTTAATAAATATATTTGACATATTCCTTAGGATTCTGGTCTGAACTACTACAAAGCCATTTTCCTCAAGACTATACTTGAGAAAGCACAGCTATAGGAGGATGAGTAGGAAAATTGAGATGCAGTTTTTATGGACTGTGATTGTTTTACATGTTCCTAGATAATGCTTTACCTCAAATTTCAGCTCTGGGAGCTATAAATTTCCTTTAAGATATTATTTGTAGGGTTTTCTGTTGTCTGCCATCCAAATGACACAGGCTGTGCCATCTGACATGTATGATATTCAATACTGGAGACAGGGAGGAAAGAAGAGAGAGGGGTGAGAGGAAAGTTAAAAGCTCGAAAGTGAGAAGTTTCTGGTATTTGTCTCTATAGTGGAACTAGAAGATTGAACTTAGGGCCTTGTATATGATATGCCACAATTTATCACTGAACTACACCCTAAGAGGGCAGTTCTTTCCTTCTTAATGTATGGCTGAGAAAATAATTTTCTATTGTTATAATTTTTCTCATTCCTATTTCCTTACCGTAATGGTTCTCAAACTGGTATAGCCAAGGGGAGTTACTCCTTCCTGCTTTTACATTTACTCAGATACTTTTTTTTTTTCTCTTTTCTTACATCAAAGTATAAGAATAAAGTCCTCCATAGATTTATAGTTAATTTTGTTTGGAGATTTTTGTTGGGTTAGTGTTGGTGATTAAAACCTAAGGTTTCCCATACACTAGGCAAGTGCTCTACTTACTGTTGAACTACACTTTCAGTCACTGTTGTTGGATTTTAGTACACTTTTTAGTTAAATGTGAGCATAGTAGATGCATGGTCAATTGATAGTACTCAGCTATTAAAAAAACAAGGAAATCATGAAATAAATTTGCAGGCAAATGGATGGAACTAGAAGACATCATTTTGAGTGAGGTAGCTCAGAAACAGAAAGACAGGCATGGTATACACTCACTTGAAAGCAGATATTAGCCATATAATATAGGACTGCCATCTACAACCTAAAGAAGCTAAATACTAAGGAGGACCCTAGAGGATGCTTAAATCTCATTCAGAATGGCAAACAGGATAGACACCAGAAGCAGTAGAAGAGAGGAAACGGGCTGGGATTCTACTACAGACAGTCCTCTGAAAGGATTCATCCAACAGGGGATCGAAGCAGATGTTGAGACTCAGGGCCAAACTTTGGGCAGAGTGCAGGGAGTCTTATGGAGGAAGAGAGGGACATGGAGGTAACAGGATCCCCCACAAAATATCTGAGCACGGGGGGCGGGGGGGGGGTGAGTCCTGCAGAGACTGATGCACCAAGGAGGACCATGCATGGAGAGGATGTGGCCTGCACAGATGTGGCCGACTGGCTGCTCAGTCTCCATGTGGATCTCTGAGTGAGGGGAACAGGGGCTGCCTTTATCATGAACTCTGTTGACTGCTCTCTGAACCCTTGCCCCTGATAATGCAGCCTTGCCAGGCCACGGAGGAAGAGGATCCAGGCAGTCCTGATGACATTTAACAAGCTATGGGCAGATGGAATAGTGGAGAACTCCCCTTTCAGTGGACTAGGGGAAGGATATGAGGGGAAGAGGGAGGGTGGGTGGGACTTGGGGAGTTGCAGGAGGCGGCTTCAGTTGGGATATATAATGAATAAATTGTAAAGAAAAAATAAAGCTCCCTAATACAATCACGAACTAATAAAGCAGATACTACCTTAGTGGTATTAATGTTTTTTCTCATTTTGTGATGAAGCATGCTGGACAAAGAAGAAAGTTTACTTTGGCTTGCAGTTCTAGAGGTACACAGTATTGCAGCAGGGAAGGCATGCTGGCAGAACAGAAGGTGGCTAGTCGGATTGCTTCCATAGTCAGGAAGCAGGGTGTAGAGCTAAGCTACCGTCCGTCCTTTTCCTCCCGTGAGGTTTCCACCTCTTAAAGGGTCTATAACCTTTGCAAACAACACCACCGTATAGAGACCAAATGTTCAAATACATGAGCCCGTGGGGACACTCCACATTCAAACTGACAATATTTTGGCCCTGGAATCCTCAATAACTGTCCGGAGTATACAGTGCTCTTGAGACTAAAACATTTGAAAGCTGTTGCCCTAATCCTTGCTAATTCTGAGACTTTCTCCTAAATGTTTTGTGGCTGACAATAGTGAATGTTGAGATGATACAAGCTGAGAATGGTTTTGTACTGTTACTACGGCAAAAGCTAGAGTTCCAGATCTTAGGGCCAAGGTCATCAAGTGGGCACATGACTTGTTGGAAACAAGTTGCAACAGTCCCTGGAAGGGCAGCAAGGGCATGGAGAAGCACACAGGGAATAAAGCATGTGCCCTAGCCAGGCTGTTTTCTACTTGGAGTTGTCAAATTAAACAATAACCCTATGTAAAACAGGATGAGAAAGTGAGTATGTTAAAACCTGAGGGAATACAGGGCTAAAGGGAGAGTTCAGCAGTTAGGAGGTGTACTGCACTTGCAGAAGACCAAAGCTCAGTTCCCGGTGCACATATAGCAACTTACAACTGCCTCGAACTTGTGCTGCAGGAGATCTGACAGCTCTGGCTTTCCGGGCCAACTGCACACGCTCATGTGCACACCCATTCACCAGAATAAACAAAATTTTAAATAAATCTTAATGAATTTTCTCGAAACTTTTTTAAAAAGAAAAAGGCAAATTGATTGTCTGTTTTACTCCATCATCAACCAGCTTTAAGATGCAGTGAAAGATAAAAATACATGCAGAGATAGACAGTGTGCTCAAAGCACCCTACCTGCTCCATTCGGCCTTCCAACGCAGGGGTTTCCAGGTGCCGCTACCACTCCATGATTTGTATCTTCCTCTGAATGCACAGATGTCTACAAAATCCAAAGCACCACAAAAATAAGTGAGGTGAGTCTAGCTGGCAACTGTGTTGAGTTAGACACCCCCACCCAGTATCTAGAAGTAATTTAAAAATATATTTCCCATGAACTGAAAAATGAATGTCAACATTTAAAAACAAAACAGGGAAAAAAAAAATCAGTCGAATCTCACATTTCACCAATCAATGTTTCTCTTACTAAGATTAAAATTCTAGCTTAGCACAATACATGTGGTGCTTACTGATTGGTCCTACTCCTCTGCTCAACTGAAGTCCCACTTCATTGGGGAGCTGGAATACCACAGTATCCTCTATCCCTTCTCTTTGTCTACCTTTTCTAATAACCTTCAATTCTAAAAGCAGAGTTCTGCACCAATGTCCTTTGGTAAACTCTAATTGCTGCCTGCCCAGTGCTCTCTTGAGGTAAACCTCCTTCACTGTCAGCTCCTCACACATTGTTGGCAGGTGCTGAGAAGCCAGCCTAAAAACAGGAAACAAGAGTCTAATGTATGGTAAGGATCCAACAAAAATATCAATTCTATTCAAAATATGAAACCATAGAAAATTTAGGCAGAATTATTATAAAGATATTGGGCATGGTGGCATGAACCATAGGATGGGCTAGAGCAGAAGTTCAAGTCTAACAGAGAGACATTAAAGTCACTGAGGGGAGGGTGGTAACTATGGGAACAGAAAATCATGGACTCATGTTTTGTTGACAGCATATTAAACATAGGTGACATAGAAACTGAAGGTGGCTCCACATATGCCTTGAGGAGATGAAATTGACATTGGCATTTCTTACTAAGTTTATTCAAGTTCTTAGCTTTTACCCCATTTGACAGTGGTAAGAGCATGTGTTACTGGTATGAGAACAGGCCCTTGCTTACGTATGCGTGGTCAACAGCACACTCCACTCAGTCCAACCTTACTCAGCTATTGGTCTTACCTCAGTTGTCAAGTTGGCTGACAGTTCCAGTCCTCCTACACTCTTTGGTGGTAGCTCCTCATTGTCTAATGAAACTCAAAAGAATTAACATAATTTAAACATTTGAATGCAAAAATACATCTCACACAGAAAAGAGACAGCATGTTATCTGGTAGTCAGCCACCTACCTTTGCTGATTTATTTCACTGTAAGCAAAAAAGCAGCAAAAACGAGTACACTGTAGGGGAAAGGGGGCTGGAAAAAGGCAGTGGCCATTTCCTCATTTGTGGGGAATGGAATTATTTCTTGCTTGCATAAACAGGTAGCTAGCCAGAAAGGGAGATAAAATACCATTTGTGGATATATCTTATTTCCTAGTATTGTTCTATAGTCCGCTCCATCAAATTTGTCCCTAAAAATACATAAGCAACATTTTGAACCCTTGAGGTTTAAAAATACCCAGTCAAGATGATGATTTATGTAGACCCACTTTACTTCCTGACAGTGAAACTGAACACAAGATCAAAACCTTGCAGGCAGACCCAGAGACAATGGAGTCTTCTCAGGTGGGCAATTTTAGCACATCCTTTTAGGCTGGAGTTTTTTATTTCCCTCACCTGTCTCACACAGAGCTGACAAGGAAAAGCCTTCCTTTCCATAAGAGCTTACAAGTTTTTTCTTGCCAGAAGCCCTTCTATTTGCTCTTCCAGGGGACAGAGGAATAATGGAATGTAGTAAAACCTAGTCACAAAAACCACTGGAACATTCAACTCATTCTATGCTAAATGCAATGGAACAAATTCAAGTTATTGATTTCAACCCTTAGGACACTTCTTTTCCAAGTTTTCTTTCTTTCATTTATTTATTTATTTATTTATTTAATGTGCATTGATGTTCTGCCTGCATACATACTTGTACGAGGGTATCATGTCCTCTAGAACTGGAGTTACAGACAGTTGTGAGCTGCCATGTGGATGCTGGGAATTGAACCTGGGTCTCTGGAAAAGCAGCCAGTGCTCTTAAGCACCTCTCTAACCCCTCTTTTATTCTTGAGATCAAAATACATCATTTTTCTCTTCTTTCCTCCCCTCCAAACTGCCATATACCCCTCCTTGCTCTTTCAAATTCATGCCTTTTTCATTAACTGCTGTTACATGCATCACCTATGTGAAGTGTTAGAATACACAATTATAAATGGACTCTCACCTATGCCGCACCCATTATCCTCAGGAGGAACAGTGACATCAAGGTTTTCTTCCCTGTGGAATGACTGCCTTGCACCAGCAACATGTCCCGTTTCCTCAGCAGACCCTTTACTAGTGCATGTGCCACTGTGGTCACCTTTTGTAGTCAAGACCCCCTCCTGTTTTGGAGCAGATGGAGCTACATGGCAGGAAGCTGGAAGGACTGCTGTGTTCGAAGGAGCCATTTTTGACTCTTGGCCTGCAATACATTTGGTGGTAGTATTCAAATTGTTCTCAGGTCCCTGCTGGTCAGAAGGGCACTCCGATGCGGTATCTGCGATGGGCAGCATGCCATCAGTTTTAGCACCAGTATTTACTGCTGCCAGACACTCAGAAGACTTATGTTCTGGTCCTCTCAGACACTTAGTCTTAGGCGGGTTGTCAGACAGTGAGTTTGTAATCCTCTCTGAGTCCCTTCTTACTATACCACTGGCCATGCTACTGTGCCTTGCTGCCTCTGCCTCTGCACTTTTGTTCTCCCTCTGAACAGAGCTCAGCAATGTATTCCTTTCTTTTGAATTGAGGTCTTGGCCCGGGCAATCCTTGTCATGGCTCTCTTCCTCTCCTATGCACACATCAGGACCTGGCTGGCCTTGTCCTACAGAGGGCTCACAGACTGGCAGCCTGTCATGCTCCCCCCTGATACTCACTGCCATTAAGGGACCCACATCTTTGCCTGTCGTGAATGGCCCAGGGCACTGACAGTTACTTTCAGCCACGAGACTGGGCATGGGTAGTTCACACTTACTTTGCTTTGTAGCTAAATGTCCACCATTTCCTTCTGTGTTCTGTGTGGCTGGCTGAGTCTCTTCATGTCTGCTTAGGCTGGTGCACATCAGCACACACTCTGCGGTGCTGGTAGAGATAATGGCAGCATCACTCAAATCTTCCCCTTTCACAGTGGTGGCCTGGTCTTCCTCTGTAGGGACAGTACCAATCATGACTGCTTCACGTCCTTCAGAGGTGCTTGTGGAAATCATGGCAGTGTCACCCGTCTCCTCGACTGGTATGACTGAGGGACAGACTGCCTCCTGAGGGATAGCACTGGACACAGAGCCTTCACAGTCTTCAACTGAACTTGTAGAGATAATTGCATTCCCATCTGTAACAGATGGTGCATTTCCACTTACACCAGAGACAGAGGCTTCACATTCTTCTGCTATGCTGGTCGAAATGAGAGCACATTCATCCTTTTCCTCCTTGCTGGTTGAGGCAAGAGGCCTTTCAGCTTCAGTGGGAGCACTGGGCATAGGCACCTCAAAGTCCTCGGTGCTTACCAAGGCTGGACCTGCAGTGCTTTCCTCAACTGCTGCAGCTGGCTGCTGTTTTTGAGCACATGTGACAGTAATAGCACTAGATATAGGAACTTCGAATTCTTCCCCTATGCTTGTAGAAATCATGGCACACTCATCCTTTTCTTCACTTCTGTTTGCAGTGAGTTGGCTCTTATCACCTGAAATTGCACTGGGCATAGGAGCCTCAAATCCTTCCACATGTATTCTGGTGCCACCCATATTTTCTTCATTGCTCAGCGTACACAAATGTCCTCCTCTCACATCTGTAATTGCACTTATCTGAGGGGTACAATCATTTGTACTGGTAGAAATCACCAAGCCATTGCCTTGATTCTTACTCCCAGATAAGCTGTCCTTGTTGGAAACATCAGCACTGGCAGTAGAGGCCATAAGGTCATCACACTCTTCGTTTTCCACAGAAGTGATGATCCCTTCACATTTTCCCCTGGGTGACGTGTGGCCAACTTCATATTCTGGAACTGCTCCAGATACAAGAATGTCATCACTGCCCCTCACCAACCCAGTGGTTTTATCTTCCACTGTTTCTTTCCTGGTAAGCTGGCTATCACTGTGATGAGATGACGCACTAGCCAAAGGATCCTCACTACCACCTATAACTGGTGGCCCATCACTGTTTCCTGCAAAGGCACTGGTCACACTGCTTTCCACAATCCCTTTGGCACTGGAACAGATATCAGTATCTTTGACTACCTTCTCTGCACTACTCATGCTATCAACATTACTGTCATTTGTATTCACAGTTGTTGCCCCAGCCTCACCATCCACATGGTCCCTCGTAGGGCCAATCTGACCACTCTCTTCTCCACTCTCACAAACCAACATTCCTTCACTTTCTTCTAGCCCTGTGCAAGTTGAAGCATGTCCGGTTTCATTTCCTCTTCCAGTACTAGTCACAACACCCTCCCCCTCATCATCCTCTTCTTTTGCACCTGTGCTGGTCACAATGCCTTCATCATCACAGGGACCAGCAGCCACTAAAGGTACATTAGTAATGTCTTTGGACTCGGTGCTGTCCATTGCACTCTCTGCATTTTCTTCAGTTTCGGAACTTATGGCACAACCTTCACTGTTGTCCACTGAGCCTGTGCAATTTGTTGCTGCTTCCCCATCTTCTTCAGTAATGCCTGTGCTGGTGACTGCACTCTCACCTTCTGTACCATCATTTCCAGAACCATCTCCTTCTTGGTTGGCACTTGCCTCTCGGGGTTTATCATCATTTACTTGGACCACATCTGCACCTGTAACCACACGTTGCTCTTGGGTTCCCACTCCAGTTACCAAGCAGAAAGTAAAGTTACTACTTTTCCCTTTGGCTTCAGTACATGTCACAGTGCCTTCTGTTTCTTTCTTAGGATCAACCTGTGTCCTATTTTCTTGGGACCCATCAGCATCTTCACTGATCATAGATCCTGCTCTTATTTCTGTTCCAGCACTTGTAACAGCACCGTCACTTTCAACTTCACCAGTACAGGTAGCAGTGCCCTCAACTGTACACGAAGAACCATCACACTTTTCCTCAGAGCATGCACTGGTTACTGCATCATCTTTCTCCTCTGTTGTAATACTGTTCACATTGGCTTCAGTCTGAACTGTATGAGAACCCAAGGGGCCTGCTATTCTGCCTTCTGACTCAGCCACAGCACACTCTCTACTTTCTCCTTCCTTGGAGCTTGTGAGCAAAATCTCACTTTCAGCAAATCCTTCTGTGACAACACCCCTACCCTCTTCAGCTGCAGCAAAAACAGTACACTCACTGGCTTCTGCCCCAACCTGGAGGGTATGGCTTCTAGGGCATGCACCCATTATGAAGCCTTCATCTGCCTCAATACTGGTACAAGGTAGGGGCTCCCCCTTCTCTCCTGTTTCTGATGAAGTGGTGATGGCATCCCCAGCCTTGACTGGATTTAACATGATGCCTTTGTCCTTCCCTTCAGAACTAGTAGCAATGAAAGCTTTGTCTCTTCTACCAGATCCAGCTGCCACCCTGTCTGTTTTCCCATGCCTTTGCTGTGGCACAGAGGCAGCATCACGCCTAGCACTGGTGTCCACCTCATTGTTTTCGGTCTTCCTTTCAACATCAGTTGGTATTTTTTTACTTTCATCTGGATCTCTATTATGCTTACGCCTGACTGTTTCAGCCTCCTTTCTTGTACTCAGGTCTACGACATGCTCAACTAAAGCACTGTCCTGCTTCACATCAGGCTCTACCTTCAGATCACTTTCTTTCTTGGACGTGCCCATCAAGCTCCTTTGTTTGTTAATGTTCTTATTTTCCCCAGTCATGCCCGTTGTCTTGCCAGCAAGAGGTATGCTTACTTTGCCTTCTTTACTATACAGCAACGTGTTCTGGCTATCTTCAGAAAGGTGCCTTTTGTTACCGACATTTGCTTTTGTTGGCATATCTACTGTGGAACCATCATTACCTTCTTTGTTCCCATTTGTCTTATGGACTTCTGACTTCTTAACATTCAAACTTTGGCTAGAGACATCAGAATGATTTACCAGAGAGGTACTGGCTGTGCCACCTTCTGAAATCACTTCTCTGTCAACTACAGGAATTGTACTTGAATCATGAGATTCTTTCTGAGGAACAACAGTCACAGAGCCTAAGGATGATGAGAGATCTGAGTTTGTAGAGTATTCAAGAGAAGGGCCACATTCTTGAGTGCCACATTCTTCAGTAGCTTTGGACATGCCTTTTAAATTCTTCTGTCCCTTCTCATTTTCTGATGGGGCCTTACCAAACCCTCTCCGACTCACTTCAGAGTCCACATTTACTTCATGGGCTCCTCGCTGAACTGGCTCTCTCTCCTTTGGAGTGGGTTTTGATACATTACTATGGCTGTGCACTTTCTTGGTCAATGGGCTTTTATGGTCAGCATGCTTTTCAGAATTGCTAGTAACTGCTAGTCCACGCCCTGATTTACAGGTCAGAGCTGCTGGTTTTGAATCTACCACAGAAGTTCTTAACTCATCCTTTAAAACCCCAGCAGCAGCTTTATGTTTTGTAACATTTTCAAAGTCAGTGTCTTGCTGAGAATTATTACTACTGATGTCCTGGGTTTTAGAAAGCTCAGACACAGTGTCGACTACTACCTCAGAATCGATTTCCATTGGCTCTTGTTCAGAGATCGATGTGGTTTCATTGCTTTTTTTTGGTCTTTGCAGGGAACTACTGGCAGTGCCTGAGATGTTCACTGCTACCTTATCTTCCCTGGCCATTTCCTGTGATATGCTTCCTCTGCGGTTTTCACACAGCCTTCTACTTAATTTCTTTTCTGTGACTGAGCCATTCCCTCTGCCCTTTTCATGACTGCTGTCAACTTCTTTACCATCCTTGTCATCTGGTTTATTTTCTTCTTTCTTTTTCATGTCTTTATTACTGTGCTTTAAGCTTCTGCTTCTGTGCCCATCTGAGAGCTTCTTCTCAAGTTTGGAGGAGGTTGAGTCTTTATCTGCCTTATGTTTCTCTTTAATCACTGCTAACTTAGCTTTGTGCCCAGAGTCCTTCTGCATACCATGTGCTGAAGGCATAGCATTCTCTAAGGCAGGTTCAGCAACAGATTCTTCTAAAGATTTGTCTTCAAGTTTGGACTTACGCTGTCTTTCTGGGTCATTGTCTTCCGAGTTCTTTTCCTTATCAGGCTTTGGAGTTGTCACATGTTTTGTGAGACCTTCTTGTGACTCTGTTTCAGCAACTTTTGCTTGTTTGCCTTGACCTTTTGATTTAGACTTTAGCACAAGCTTCTCTTCCAACAAGCTCTTCGTTCTTCGCCTCTCCTTATGAAGCTCTTCTGGCTTTGAACTGCTGTCGACATTAGTGGAGTCTGTCTCACACTTCTCTTCAGAACAGCTCTCGCTTCTTTTCTGCAATGTTACATTGTGCTGCTTGGAGCTTGCAGCATCCTTCAGAAGTTTAGAGTCACTTGACCTTCTGGATTTGTGCTCAGCCTTGGTTTTTTCAGATGGCGGGTGCTTCTCCTTTTTGTTATCTTTGCGTGCATGGTCATCTGTTTTTATAGTGTATTCAGAAACTGGCTTTCCATCTCTACCCAATACTGACAATTTCCTTTCATTCCTGTGTTTACTTTTACGTTCAGTTTTATCATCTGAAGAAAGTTTTTGTTGACTTTGCTTCTGAATATTTTCCTCTGTTTTTAAACTTTTCTCAGAGGAGTGAGGTTCAGTCTCATCACCTATTTTATGTATACTGTCACCTTTGTATTTGTGTTTTGAAGATAATTTTTCTTCTAACTGACCTTTTTCTTTTTCGGATTTCTCCTTGGCAGCCTTTGCCTCTTTTTTAGGCAGGCCTTTCCCATGCGTTTCAGGATCATCTTTCTTTTGATACTTTTCATTTTTAAGGCTGCTTTTCTGCTTCTGGGGTTCTTCCACATTAACTTCTGAGCGTTCTGCTTGCTTTTTTCCATCTCTTGTATCTGTTTCTTCCTGAGCGCCTTCTGAGACAACAGGGGTAGATGTCCGTCGCTTATATTCCCTTTCTACTTTTGATTCAGTTTTGTTTTCATCAGCTAAATGCAGAGATTCAGAAAGCCTCCGGGCAGGTTTGCCTGGTTCACCTTTGCCATGAGCATGCTTCAGGTCCTTGGAGGAAGCCTTTTCTTTTTCACAGTGTTGCTGGAAAACAAAGGATATTTATGAGACATATTTTAGATACAAACTTACCTCTTTGGGTCTATTTACTATGCAATCTCTAGCACATCTCAGGCACTTCAGCTCCACAGATGATATAACCCATGGCAGGTATTGGACACCAAGAAGCTAAAACTCAGCGCAACGTGAGTGTCTAAACGATCACACTCTGAGTCTCACATTATTCCCAGCTTTACAGAGCAGTTATTTCACCTAACTGGTCCATGCATTTAGGAAGTCTGCAATACTACACATGACTATAGCTCACTAATACCCAACAGTCTTTAATAAATGTAAACCGACTAAGGGACAGCTTAGTGTTCTTTTTAGTATAAAAATACACATGCTGATGAAGAAGTAAAGCTGTATTTTAAGAATCAGAAACCTAAATCACTTATATAAATCATGTGGATTTAGACTATTTGTACAATATTCTATTTATAAAATCTGAAATGTACATAGAAACTGAGTTAACAGTGTAAGCATACACACATAAGCATATACACAAATGTATGTTCAATTGTTCTGGGGAGGTACTGGGGAAGCATGCACAGTACCTGAACTTTCTTCTCCACCCCAGTTTTGGCACTTCGTACATTAACATGTGTAAAACTTCATGAGATAATATCCACAAAAAAAAGTATCACAAAGGACAGTTAAATATTTAAATATATGTGGGAACACATTGGGAGTATGACTAAATATGACTCTAGTTTCTGAAGAAAGAAATTTACTGGCTATTAACAATTACTAGGTTATTAGTGTCTCTAGCTCAGAAACATTATGATGGGTCAGCTATAGGACTATGGATATGTTTTACAAATAAAGATTTAAACTCAGTTAAAGCCAAAATCTGTCCCAAGTATAACCCAACACAGTGGAGAAATGCATTCACTGCATGTATTTTCACAATTTAAAATGAGCCCAATTTGGTCACAACCTTAGTGTCAAATACAAGCTGGTGCTTAAGTAAATAAGAATGCATTCAGTCAGTATGCCACGAGCCAACTGTTAAATATTACAAAGCTTATGAGGTAACACAAACTGAGCAAAGTCTCAAGAAAATTTTTGTCAGCGTATTTTCCTTCCAAAAAACTGTGTGCTTATGGTAACCAAAGAGATAAAGTAGAGAACCTACTATGTAGGAGTTTAGTTTTCTTTTTCTTCTTACTGACAATTTTGTTATTGCTATATACATAAAAAAGAGGGTGAAGGGGATAAGGAAGAGAACTTACTATCTAGACAAAACAAAATCATTCATCAACTCATTAAAACAAATTCAGGCCAAAATTCAACAGGCTTAAGAATGCTGAACAAAATGGTTTTTAAGACAAAACACAGAAAAGATTACATTATGGTCTTTTGCTGCAAAGGAATACTGAATGACTCACACCTAGCAAAAGGGCACTGACAAATGTTTCACTAAGACATACCTCACTTGCTTTGAGGGCTTCTTTGGATTCTTCCTCAGCCTGCTGCTTCTTTTTAGAATTCTCATCAACATTCCTAAGAAGAGAATAAATCAAATATAAACTTCTAATCATCTAAGAATCTCATAAGAAAGTTGAAAGAAAATCTTTCCCTTACTATGACTACTCACTTCATTTGTGGATGCTGGTTACACTTTAAACCTTACTTTTAGCTAGCAGAGAAACAATACAAGTGTGGATTATCTGCTTCCAGTGCAAAAGAGAAACATGCTACAGAACAAATCCAAATATGCTTCACTACATCCACTACACAACATCTGAAAGCCTCACCATCTTTTGGATAAGCAAGAAGGCCTTTTGACTCAGAGCTATATAAAAAGGGTACAATAAATCTGAAAACTGACTCCTCTCTGAGTTCTGTAAATTCACTTATCTTGAAGTTTATGATTAATTTACAGAAATGTAATGATGGGCTGGAGAGAGAAATTAACCACTAAAAGCACCTGCTACTCTTTTAGGGGACCTGGGTTGGGGTCCCAGTACCCACATGGCACCTCACAACCACTTGTCACTCCAGTCCCAGAGGATCTAACACCATCTCCTGGCCTCCATAGGCTCTTGCACGTATGAGATACACATAAACACTTGTAGACAAACACACATGCACATAAAATAAAAAAAAGAATTGTAATTTAATGTAACAGTAAAACTGAAGACCATGGTTTACATTACATCATAGCTACTTTCAAGAGTCTCTTTCCCTTGGTAATTCTTCAATAATTAGCAATGAAAACACAGTGTTAAAAAAATAAAAGAACAGGACATTATGTGAAGGGGAAATCATGGGGTGATGTTAAAAATAGGTGCTGCGAAGACAGGCAAACAGATGAAACCTGTTAGTAAGTGGTTACTACAGGCCCAGACAAGATACTTCTACAAGTACTTCCAGGAGCCATAAACTCAACTCTCTGAGACTCGGAAAATTTTATGTTTATGTATGTTTATGTTCTAGGGTAGAACCTAAAGCTTGTCAGATTTACACAAAATTAATTAAAAAGTTACTTTAAAATACTATAGATATCAACACAATGAAAGAAGATAAAAGAAAACTCCAAGGCCTTCATAAACACATAGTAACATCTATGTTACTCAAAGTGAAACATTCTATGACTTTCTCTCTTTTTTTCTGACAGATTGTTCTACCTACCTACCTACCTACCTACCTACCTACCTACCTACCTATCTATCTTGTTGTTGTAGTACAAATCATTCCCATGGGTGCATCAGTTTCTGCTAATTCTGTCAAAGTCAGCAAGATGGCCCATCAGGTAAAGCTGCTTACTGCGTAGAACACACAGAGGATGATGCTTCCCCTAGAAGTACCATGGGTGAGATGCCTTCCCTCAAGTTGTTGGTCTCAGAGATTCCCAAAACAATACTAGCTATTGGCACTGAACTTGGTTGCCACCATAACTTGATGTTAAGATCCTATTGCTGAAAACACCACACATCTTGGTCACAGGACATGGAGAAATCAAGCTGATACTACTTGTCCCTGCTGATTAGATGTCATAAGTCCAGAAGGTGCCAAGAAAGCTCCTGGGGTTAGAGGGAGTCATCAATAGTTTGTGGACCTTGTGAGCTACAGTAATAAGCAGCATGGCAGGACATACTCATAGGCGCAATAGTTGCATGAAAGATAACTAACCACATTCTATTTGGATTAAAGGATGATTAACAAGAACAAACACAAGCCTGGTAGTGTAAATTTAACTAAAAATGCGTAATTGGGAGGCTCATGGGATCTTGGAGTGAACATACTACCATTATGTTGCTGAAAAGATATAACATCAAACTGCCCTATAAATTCTTATCTCTAAAAAAAAACCAGGTATGATGGCATATTCCTTTAATTCCAGCCCTGGAGAGGCTGAGGTAGGATTACTATGCGCTCCATGCCACAGTTCCAGAGCTGTTTTTCTACACCCATGGGTTAGTGCAGTTCCCAGACTTCAACAGAGACGTTTCTTTGTACAAAAGATGAAAGTTAACACAGAAACTCAGAACCCATCAAAGTGTAGATTAAATTAAAAAATAACTTTCAAACTTTTTAAGAAAAATTTTAATTGGGAGATAGGGTCTCTCTCTACAGTCCTGGATATCCTGGAACTCTCTAAGAAGATCAGGTTGGCCTCAAATCACAAAGACCCCACTGCCTCTGTCTTCCAGGAACTTGAATTATACCATATCCAGCTACTTTTGAAGATGGCTTATGAGCACTTTCAAAGCTGTTCTTCTGAAAGCACACCACTAGTGTGACAAACACAACACAGCAGATATAAATGTACCTTGAATCTTTCTTTCTTCTTTTGCTTAAGGCTACCTTTTTCTCTAAAACTTTCCGTTCTTTAAGGACTTCTTTAATTCTTGGGGCTTTGGGTTCCAAAGTCTTGGTTGATGAATCTTCTAGGTCCACACTACTTTTGCCTAGAAAATAAATAAACAAACAAATAAATGAGCAAGCTTTATTTCAGAAGACGGTTTTGTAACTATGCTATATTTACCTTTGATTAAGGTTTTATAATCATTATAAAACACAAAATAGCTTTGAACAGATCTCAGTTTCTGCTAGGAAATACAGACTTCAATTTTATTATATTTACTGTGCCCGATAAATGTCAGCATAAGGGCTGTAGTATAGCTCTGGGGCAGAGCTTGTACTTAGCAAGTTTGTGGTCTTGAATTCAATCCCCAGCATTGGAGACAGTAACAGAAAAGAAAAGGGAAAATCAAAGATGATGTGAAGCATAGGCTAGCTGTATTATCGTCACCAGAAACACTCAACTACTTATATCTAAAATCCATTCAACCATTACTGCAGAACAACTTGCTTCCATACTTTATTATACATGCATGTGCCACAAACAATATGAGACTAACTAGAAAATAATGGTATGTGTAAGATGCTCTCAAGTAACAGTAATATCTGCTATACCTTGGTTCTTTGCTTTGGAAGACTTTGTCTTTTCTGCTTTCTGTTTTCGTTTTTCTTCAAGTTTCTCTCTATTAATTCGTCTTCTTAAAACTCTCTCTTCTTTTTCTTTAGCCTATAACCATAAAATTGCCCAAAGATTATCAGGTAAAAGGAAAGACACTCTCTGAGAGAACATATGTGAAAACAAACAAACAAACAAACAAACAAACAAACAAACAAAAAACCTGTACATCTCTGAGGTAGCGATTTAGCCCAGCAAATATGAGGCCTTAGGTGTGACCCCAAATATTCAAAGTTGCCCCCAAACCAAAAAAGTTTAGTTCGTTCTTTTGATGTTTTTATACATCAATGGGATAAACAAAAGCACACATACATCAGGCTGAAAAGACGGCTCAGTGTTTAAGAACATTTGCTGCTCCTGCAGAAGACCCAGTTTGTTCACAGTACCCATATGATAGCTAACAAACATCACTAACTCCAGTTCTAGGGAATCCAACACCTAAACTCTGTGGGCACTAGGTACACACATACACACAGTCAAAACATTCAATAAATCTTAAAAAAAAAAAAAAAGAAAAAAAAGAAAATAGACATTAAGTATGTGTATACAGATATGGGTATGACTGCCCTATTTTGGAAGCTACCAGATGATAGAAGGCACAGGTAGAAAAACTTAATTAGTATTTTAAAATGTTGAAGAATGAAAGGCATGATCTGAGAAAAGATGATTTAACAAATTAGCTGTTACAACTAAAAGAGGAAATACACCTATAAAAACATGAATATCAAGCATAAATGGGTAAGTCTTCAGAACTTCTCAGTTATTTCTACAGGAACAATTGAAATGTAGATTTAAGTTCTACAGCCAATCTGACTTGGTGGTTACAATCCTGGGCCTGAGCTGTAGTGTTGGGACTTTCTGCTGGCTGAATTTCAACTAGGGAAGTTCACAATCATTTTGTTATTCTTACTATCCTATTCTGGCTCAAAGCTCAAAGCCAAAATTTCAAAAATCCCGAGCAGGTACACAGCTCCTATCCACTATCTTCTCTAAGAAATAAGATTAGACTAAACACTAGCTTATTAAACACTCTTAAACACTAGCTAGCAATCACACTTTGCAGTGTTTTCTTCAGTAATTAATTCTATTAACCCCTTCATTTTGATATAAGAAAATTTTCATATTTTTATGTCCCTTAAATTGTAAGCCATTTAAAAACTAATGAATTTTGCTTAAAAAGCATTCAATAATTGAATAGTACATGATAACTGGAAGCATTTTCAAACCCAGGAAATCAGTGGACTGCATTTCCCTCAATATTACACTAATTGCACACTGTATCTTGATATGAAATGAGCCACATGGATATAACATTTTCCTAATATGAAACTGTTACATTTTTTCACTTTTGTTAGTAACAGTGATATCTTTGTGTCTATTCTATGTAGTTCCATGGCAAGCCCCTTGAGGGCAAGACCACATCTGCTCTGTGCATACTAGTACGGTGCACAGATGACTATTCAAATTTTGTTAACCTGCTGCAGCAGGCTAAATCACAGAAGTTCTCAACCTGTGTGCTGCAACCCCTGTGAGGGTCGAACAACCCTTTCACAGGCGTTACATATCAGATATTTAGATTACAATTCATAACAGTAGCAAAATTACAGTTATGAAGTAGCAAAAAATAATTTTATGGTTTGGGGCTCACAACAACATAAGGAATAGTATTAAAGGGTCACAGTGTTGGGAAGGTTTAGAACCCCTGCTAAATCAGCACGGGATCAACTGGACTTACAATGGACTGCCGCCGTTGTTCTACTGTGAGTTCGTCATCAGAATCACTGTAGTATTTTGAGTAAAGATACGGTTTGTGAACATAAGCATGCCGTACACTTCTGGCTTTTCCATCACTAGAATCACTAGTTTGCGTTTTTGCTTTATTCTGTTTGTTTTTCTCTTCATCTGGAAAGAAGTCAATATAAAGAGTGAGTGCTTCTGTCAACTAGAGCAGCATCAACACACTGTAGATGTAGCAAAAGGCACCAATATACTTCAAGTGCACTTAAAAGTCCAAAGGGATGTCAGTAGGAGAAATTCAGAAACTGACAGTTTAAAAAACAATTCACCTCACATATAGAGGCAGAGCAGACCAAGAAAAATTAGACTTCTGTATTATTAAAAGAAAAAAGAAGCACAGACAAAAGCTGCACAGAGCTGATCTGAAGGAAGAGCAGGGTAGGCTCGTTGCTAAAGTGGTACAGAGGCTCCACTCTACCCTGGAGCTGTGTGCTTTTGCAGGCTCAACATGGAAGCCATGTACACACTCTACAGACTGACTGCCGCTGGGCCTTACCTGATTAGGAACTGGTGGGCAGCATTCATTCAGAGGTCAGCAGGGGTTTCTGCCAGTCTAAGCTCAAGTTTCCCTTTACTGTTCACTCCATTTTGGTTTATTAACTCAGGAGCCCACTTAGCCGAAGCTGCTGGAACCATCTTAGCCTACTCTTCCTTCTATCAGTTTTAAACAATGCATTTTGACAAACAGTTAATTCTTGTCAGTGGACTCTTATCAGTGGATTCTTGTCATGTGAATGTTTTTATCACTGTTAAGTTGAGGAAGCTCACTTAAAGCTGCACTTTAAAGCATACTTGAGATCTTGTTTATTTTTCAGTTTTTTGAAAGAGGGTCTCACCTCACTATTTTCCCTGGCTTTCCTTGAACCCACTCTGTAGACCAGGATACACTCGAACTCTCAGACAACCCCTTGCCTCTGCCTTCTGAGTGCTGGGATTAAAGGTGTGTTACACCACACCCAGCTCACACTTGATATCTTAATGCCTACTTGTGAGTTCAGGAAAAAGGCAGGAGTCAATCACAGCTCCTATACCTTACACTAAAACCTCTACATGAGGAAGACGATCTTTCCATTTGAAACAGTAGAAAAGAGGAATAAAGGAATATATATTTTCTACTATTTATTGCTCTTAGTGAACTTCTTATATCTTAGAACATACATATAAAATCTAGCTCCAGCCAAGAAAGCATCCCAGCAGACCCCAAAGCATGAGCAGAGAAAGAGCAGGGTTCACAGGCTGGGGACTAGCCCTCCCACTTGGGCAGTACAGTAAGGACCACCATCATAGCTGGAGTGCACTGCTGCACCTATTCTTAATATGTACCTTTGTTTCCTGGACATACACATAAGCTAAGAAAAAATATCTGTGGATTTAGAAGGCTCTGCTTTTTCCTGAGTTTCTTCCTAGGCATCTAAAGCTAGCAGAAAATGCAAAGGGTGCTGTCTGCTGACAAGAGTATGTCAAGGCAAAGAGGAGCATGATGTGCTGTCTCTGAGCAGAGTCAGGCTTGATTTCTGCCCTGCTGCTCGGTGGCCGTATGACTTTGGATTGGACAAACCTCAAACCTTTGTTTTCTTTGTTGTGCCTCTTTTCCAGGGTTGCTGGAGTTAAGACACAGAAAGGCATCAGTATAGTCCCTAGGACCCAGTAATCACTGGGTGATTAGGAATGGTTAGCTGACGAGTAACCTGTATAGCAAGGATTTCAGCTTTGTCCAGGGGATGGACGTTTTTCATAGGCTTCTGAGAAATCATCTCTAGACCCTCAAGATGCTGTACTTGACTGATGTGTTTCTGCCTTCCTGGTTTTCTTTTCCTGGTTTCCTCCTACTGTGGCTAGGAGGGAGGAGGGGTATTGGGTCCTGCAGCAAGACCTCCTGGGTCTAGAGACGTAAGGGCAGGCATGTCATTACAACTATATCCTAGAGCCCACGTAAGAATTTCAAACCAAAGTTCTGGTGCACTTCTCTGGTTGATCATAGTTTATCCAGATGATAGAAATGCATGTGAAGGAAGTAAAGTTGCCCACAATTCCAGAGAGGATATGCAGCTGGTTCCTGTTTGGAACATTTCTGAACTTGACCCTATGTACTCCATCCCTTCTCTGATTTGACTGCATTCCTTAGCTGGATCAACCATAATTGAGTGGAGCGGTATTTGAGAAATACCAACACTAGCAGGATAGTCTAACATTCTATATAGTCCCAGCTAACAGTTATTCTCCTGTCGTAGAAGTGCTGGTATTCTAGGCACAAACCAACATATCTAACGAGTGTACTAGCTTTTGGTGTGCTGTCAGCACTTTTAGGAAATCAGTTTTTCCAAGGATGCTCTTTAGCACCCCTAAATTTTCAACTGGTGGCAGAAGTGAGGGTAGCCTTCTAGATTGCACTTCTACCAAGTACCATTCACATACTGTCACATAAACAAAAGCAGCCATACAAGCACTCAGTCGTGCAATAGTCTCAGATGACGAAGTTGGTCATGGAGAACTAAGGCTTGTTGGGGAACAAAGTTAATTAGACAACCCAAGGTAGCAGGCTCCTGCTATGCAACACTTTCAGGAAGCAGCTACCAGAACAAAACACAAATAATGCTTAACAGAACCGTCACAGAAACACTGACAAAAGGGCATTACCATCTGATGTAATCTCTCCTTCTTCCATGCTATCAGACATGACAATTTCCTCCTCTGTGTCTTCTTCAAAGGATGAGAGGTCACTGGTGTGGACAGAGCTAACTGTGATGTCAGTGAGACCATCCACATCAGAATCTATCAGAGAGCAATCTTTAAGAAGAAAATGAAACAAAATAAATAACTGCTCATAAGAGCAGATTCAAAGCCTAAACCTTAAATATTAAAGATTTCCTAGAAAAATTAGCTATCAGAAAGACAGTTATCTTAACAAAATACAAAGGTAAAAAGAGTAACTTGCAAAAATAACTATTAATTTGTAATGTAAGGTTATACACAAATGTAAAATTTAAATAACTGGTGTTATTATTATTATTAATATTATTATTGTTACCTAGTATTTTTAAGATTAGCCTATACAACTTAAGTTGCTTAGAACAGTATAAATAAATAACACAAATTATAAAGTTTATAGCTTTTCTGTTAGTTTTCTTTGTGAATAGACACATTGGCATAGTAAAGCAATTATAAATATTTATTGCCTCCCTTTCCACTAGCCCAAATGAGGCCTGTTTTTTAGCTCAGGCTGGCCTGGATACTGCAAGCAGCATACCCAGTGCTGGGATTACTGCTGTGTGCCAACATGCCCAGCTTATCACATTTATTGTTTTGCAGGTTTTCATGGAACACCAAAACAAATCATTAAAATCTAAAGCCAAATTTGACACTATCCCTGTTCCTCTAAGGAACACTCTGATCTTGAAAACCATGCGGACTTGTGCATGTACCTTCCTTTGTGCCCTCAGCAGCCCTGGCTCTGCTGTTGATCTTTTCGGAAGGAAGCTTTGTGCTCTCCATGTCTTTGTCCTTTGCTTGTTTTTCATCTTTTGCTTTCTGTGTTTCTTCATTCCTTTTGAAGTGATCATTTTTTTTTTCAGTCTTTTCCTTCTTTTCTTTCTTTCTTTCTCCTTTCTCATTGCTATCTGGTTTCTTTTCTCCTTTGTCCGTTGATTTAATTTTTTGGTCAGTGATTTCCTGCTGAGCATCCTTATTTAGTAAGAGTAAGCTATTACTCTCTTTTGTGTGATTTTTAGTTTCTTCCACTGGACAAGGGAGATCGTTAGGTTCTTCTGACTTGGAAGCAGTTTCTATCCCCTCCCCTCCGGAATCAGGGGTAGTCTTTTCTCTTTCAGCCCCATCCTCTGAGCCTCTCTCCTTGTCTGTGTTGATGTCAGTGCTTGGCTGAGATGAGAGTTTTCTGGATATTCTCTCACTAGCCTTGGCATTAGACATTTCTGTTGAAGCTCTGGCAGCATTAGCTTCTTGGTTAAGAGAAGTTATGGTTTCCAAGATTGACATGGCATCACTGGCTACATTAGCACTGGGCCCAGCAGCAGGAGTACCTTGAAGGAGAAGACAAGACTTGGAATAAGTTTATGCAAGAAGTACACCCTTCTACTTCATCTATGCTACACACCACAGTAATAAGCTGTGTAGAAATGCATGTTCCTATAGGCTTTGAAGTACAGTGCTGGTATACATACTCAGAAATTTCTATCTCCTGAGAACACAGTGTCTTATAGGAAGGGTGCCAACACATCCAAGAACATTTCAATTGTGAGAAGAATGTCTTTACTATTTCCGTTACATCCACTTTTATAGCAAGTGTGCACATGCACAAACTCATCATTATTAAAATGCTTTCAAAAATTAATTTCATAAAAGAAATGTCATGCCAGTTGAGGAATTCAAGTAATACGGACAGTACATATAATTTCACTAGAGTAGCCAAGTGGAGCAATGCATTAAAAAAGCCACGCATCTCAACCTAGGCAATCAGACCATGAAGATCCCAGGAATTGACAAGAGTAAAAACAAAGCACCTTGGGTAATGACGGAGGAGTCCAGCTTCTCATCATCAGGAGCTGTGCTCCCAGTTGCTTCCTCTTTGTGATTCAATGTGGCCAGAAATTCATGCACAGCTTTTTCCACCTGAGGCCTAAACGTGTGGTTGATCTTTGGATCCACGACCTGAGAAATAATGCGGTCGATACCAGACTCCAGCATTCCTGATCTGAAACATGGGAAATTGACAGAAGAGTAAAGAAATAATTTTACATTATTTACATAAATCATTTAAAATAAAATACTATCTATTATAAATAAGTTCAACATTCAATAGTCTATTTGGGAAATGTAATACAGTCGTGGTTTTAGGTATTCTATATTACAAAGACATCTGTAAACTGTCCACTGGTAGAAAGACTAAAATACGTAAAACGGTCTTTGAAGTAGCAGCAGCAGTACAGAACATGAAGGAGGCGGTGCTTCTCTCAACCTACATGCCTGGAACACGACTGATGAGGTCCAGGCCTAAAGTAAATCTCTCATCTCTGAAACTTTCTTTTTTTTAAAAATAAAAAATATAAATTTTTTATAAGTCTTAGAGTTTCTAGTTAAAGTAAAGAATATATACAAAGTATAATTTCTTCAAATTGATAAACAAGAAACAAGAAAAACAAAAATAAAACTCAAGATGTCTGGCTTTCTTTTTATTACCTTCCTGCTATAAAACAGGATGATTTAGTCATTCAAGAGGTAGGTTATGAATATCTTCTACACAAAAGGCACCATGCTGACCACCAGGCAGCTACAAACCAGACCTGCACCCTGTGCTGGTTAAAGATACAGACACAATTAAAATACAGGAGGCTAGGGATGAACACACACCATGCACTGTGGGGAAGACGAGAGTAAAGAATTACTGGCTATGTCTACGATAAGGTGGGAACACTCCACAAAGAGAGTGACACTGAGCTGAGTCTTGATGTCTAAAGAAGAGGAAAAGAGAAACGGCAAAGGATGAGAAGGCAGACAGGAGTGACAAGGACATCTAAGTGGCACTTCTGTAAAATGACAGCCGAGCAAAATAGATTTAAGAACACATTTCTTCCTAGAATGCCCCAGGAGGAATTAAAGTACCCAGAGCAGTGTTGAGAGACAGAGGCCTTAGTCGCCTCTTACTTCTTGGGGACCCGTCTTCCTGGATAGAACAGGTGAGGAGATGTTGGTCCTTACACTGTAAATGCTGTTGCTGAGTGCACTTGTCTTAAGTGAGTGTAGACTGTATTTCCAATTCCCGAGGCACTTAGAAACCATGTGATACTGTAATTCTATTTATGTGGGACATAAAGAAAAATGAGCTGACATGCAATGAAGTAGGTTACCTGCTTTTTAAAGTTTCAAGATTAAACAACAGAGCACAAATCTGAAAAACACTGCTGTACCTTTAAGGTCTTTTTTGTCCCCTTTAAAGGTGATTTGCAAATGTAGCAGAAATAAAGAATTAAAAAGTTTTGCTGTAAGGCATTAAATACAAAGGCATAAAATTTAAGAATCAAACCCACTGAACCCAAAAATACTGCTTCCATTGCCTTCTCTGTTTCCCTGTATTTTGGCTTCTTGTCCTGCAAATAAAAATACTCTTAAATATATTCTTCCTTCCCACAGAGATCAGCTCTGATCTTATGTAAAATGGGGTCCAGAGCTACTGTTCCACTGCCCTTTGCAGGCTCACTGCCTTGGGGTATTCCCTAGCTGCCTTCTCAGAGGAAAGTACCTCAGCCCTAGATCCACAGGTGCATCCCTGCTTAATATTACTTACCTGCAGGCCTGACAGTACATGCCTATACCAGACACTTAGGAGGATGAGGCAGGATAACTACAAGTTTACAAGTTGTTTAAGCAACAGGGAAATTGCAGGGTAAGAGTTCAAAACCATCCTTCGCAAATTTGGACCTTTTCTCCAAATAAAAACAAAAGCGAGCAGAAGCGACAGGTGGTAGATGCCTGTAATTCCAGCACTGCAGTTCAAGGCCAGCCTAGCTACACACAGAATATGATGAGACCCAGGGCTACATACTGAGATCCTATTTTAAAACAAACAAACAAACAAGCAAACAGTAATAGAGTGCTTAGTTTTGCATGTATGAAGAGCTGAATTCAACTCCTACTTCTGAAAAAAACAACAACAACAAAAAAACACAAATGCATAAATAAAACCAAATCACTTCCTTCTATTTAAAATTCTGTCAAGATTACTGAAAGCTATCCAGCATTTTCAGAATCTGCAGCATAAATGTATATATAAATAAATAAAGTGTTTCTTCCTCCTGAGAAAAAGATAAGCTACTAAGTTGATCCGTTTTAAATTGCTGATAGCAGGCCACTTGTTCCACAGAAATGACAACTGCCATGGCTTAATCTAAGTCAATAAGCTGAGGATTTTCTCAAGTGTGTGTGAAAACCTGATTGAGATGATAGTTATTTATAGGGCTAGTCCATCCATAGAGTATCAGTTTTCATAAAACTAAGGAATCTTTCTCTAAGCCAGGCACAGTGGTCCAAGCCTTTAATCTAAGCACTTGTAGGGCAGAGGCAGGCGGATCTCTGTGAGTTCGACTCCACACTTATCTAGAGTGAGTTCCAGGACAGGCAGAGTAATACAGAAAGACCCTGTTTCAAACATACAAACAAATAAAAAACGTAACCAAACCAAACAACAACAAAATCTTTCTCTAAAAAAATTCCAATATGCTACTATTACTATTATAAAATATCGCACATGGGGAAAGCGTGATGTCTCAGTGGTTAAAAGCTCTTATAGTGTAAGTCCCATGACCTGAGTTCAATCCCTGCATTGCATAGTGAAAGGACAGAACTTACTCTTGAAGTTTTGCTTTGAGGCCTCTACCCACAGGATAACAAGGGGAAAATGTACAGAAGTCTCAGGAAGAGTGGGTGGTAAGTTACAAGAATACAGCTGTTCCCTTTCCTGGTCTCTAGTGTAGAGGAAGGCAGCTCACTACTTACGGGAGACAGCAACAGTATACACTTACCGCTGCCATAACCACTGGCTTCCTTACCATTTACAGGCATGAAACATAGGTAAAGATATCTTTTATTGGTACTAGGATTATAAGTGATTGATTTTCACATTTCCCTCACCTAAAATAAAACAGGATTATAAGTGATTGATTTTCACATTTCCCTCACCTAAAATAAAATAAATGACAGCTTTCTCATCTGAGAGATTTTGCACAATAAAGTATAAATAAAAATATCCAAAAAACCAGTCTCCTCCTTGAGACTCTCAAGATGGGATAATAAAATACTGCAGATTTGGAGGATTCTGTGCAGTGGATCAGCGCCAGTACTGCAAACAGAAAGGCACCCTCCTCCTGAAAAGAATGCAAGAGGCTTCTAAGCAGGATGGTAATGACCAATGCCATCATCTCTGAGAAGGGCTGCAGCTGTAGCTACCAAGTGTTGAAAGGGAGCCCTGTATCATCAGCAGCATTGCAAATAAACGTGGGTCGGGCACCACAGCTGCTCCCAGCTCTTATTCCTGTGCTACTCTGCTTACTGTTCTACTGAAGGCCTTTGTGAAAATAAGGAGCCTTCTTGGCCTGTCACTCAATAGACTCCTATCTTTTCAGGAAACAGCTTTGACTTTTTACCAACAGGTATTATTAAGCAGCCTTCCGATGACATCTTCTGATCTCAGCTGGACTCTTTCACACATTCTCAAAAAGCTTTCAAAACACAGACAATAAAGCCAGTGCTATTTTCTTTTCTTATGCACAGGAGAACCAGTCTAAACTCCCAGGCGCCAGGTTTCTAGTATTACCTAGGGCTAAATGAACTTTTTAGTGAGATTTCATTTCTGTGGCTTCCTGTGGCTTGAAACTATCACACTACATAAGCTTGGGTTAGATAACTCACCTGTTGAAAGCCATATTTTATAAATATTCTTTAATATAAATATTTGTCAAAGCAGGAAGAATAGGCACTCTTTAAACAACTAAGATAGGAAAGTCTTTTTTGTCTCAGCAAATATTTATATTCAAAAACAAGTAAAAGATTATAAATCAATTTTGTCCTTTTTTCCCCCAAAGTAAACATTCCAGACTTTTCTAAATATTGAAGCTTTCATTCTTTGTTTCTTATGCCAATGTACAAATGACCAGACAGGTCAAACATATTGTCTTTTAGCCTCATACTATATATATTAGAAGAAAAAAAATCACATAAAATCAAGAGACTTGTTTTTGTTTTTCCAGACAGGGCTTCTCTGTATAGACTTGGCTGTCCTAGACTCTTTGTGGCCCAGGCTGTCCTTGAAGTCACAGAGACCTACCTGCTTCTGCCTCCCTGAGTGCTGGGATTAAAGGCTTGTGTTACACCTGGCTGGGATTCATTCATTCATTCATTCATTCAATTATCATTTAATTTCAGAGCTCTCATATGCTCCATTTGTTAAACAAGAAAATAGTCATAAATGTCTAGGACATTATAGCATTTTTATCTATTAATATTTACATAGAGATTTTGGACAGTTTTTCTTTAAGCCAGGCTACTTCTTTTCTCGAATACTTAAATACCACTGTAAGTCTACAGGAAAAGATAACGGTTAAAATTTATATGAGAAACATGAAACGATGAGGCCACACTCGAAAATGATACTGGACCAAGTCACATCAAACTTCCCATACTGCCTACATCAAGACAATGTATTTGTTTGCTTTCAGACAAAGTAAATAGAGACACTTTAACCCAAGCCTGTGCTCTCTAACTCAGACTTACTTCAGAACTTGCTGTCGGATATTGTTTCTCAGTTGGTTCTTATTGAGGTGTGGACTCCAAGTATGAGTTGCCAAATGGTTTGCAACAAAGTTGTCAACTCTCTGCCTCAGATTCTGATAGGCAGGCTAGAAAGAAAAATAAAACAAAAAAACCCATAAATGCTAGATACCTTTAATTCATATAATAAGGATAATAGTTTAATAATTTTAGTATATTTAATAGTCCTATGATTTCTTATACTTGATGGAAAGTTTCTCAGTTATAAATTTCAAATATTGTCTGTTTTGTCTAAGATAAGTTGTTTGTAAATAAAGTAGGGTAAAGAAAACAAACCTTTTTGTATTAAAAAAAAACTAGAAACAAGATACAAATGTTAATGTTTGAGGATTACAAACAAACAAACAAACAAAAAAAAAAAAAGGCAGGGAAGCCCAGGGAAGAAGTCTTGATTGAGAATTCGGCATTTTGACACTGAAAATTAGTTTCAAAGTTGCATGATGTTACTAGGGATGAGACTGACCTCTGTGGACAGAGCCAACAGAAGAAAATATGAATTGGGCTAGAAAAATGTCAGGATATTAGGGGAACCCATATATTGGTAGTTTAATCTAGTTATAGAAGGGAGTACCAGGGAAACAGAAATTAAGTTGAAAACACAGACTAAGGCCATGCTTGCACAAAAAGGTTTGAGAATGGGAATTCATTACACATCCAAGCACAGTGGTTCAATAGCTGAACACAAACAAACACCTGGCAAAGTAGGCAAAAGCTAAAATAATGAAAGCCTGTGATGGTAAGACTATGAAGTAAAAGTTATGGACTCAAGAGAAATTACTCAGGGATAGAACACTGAACTATACATTAAATCTGATGTAAAAGCAGTTCTCCAGCAGGAGTGATCTTAAACTCTGTTCCCCCAAGGGCGCATTTGGCAATGTCTAAAGCACTTTAGATTATTACTGAAGAGCAGAGGGCAAGGATGCTACTAAATACTCCACAGTTCAGTACAGATCCTACAAGAACGAGTCTGCCAAAAGGTCCACAGTATCTATGACTCCAAACTCCTGGCTCCCTGTTCCCTCCCTCCCCACCCAACACCCGCAAAAAAAAAAAAAAAAAAAAAAAAAAAAGTGTGTGGGGGGGATGAAAACAAGATCAAGTCACTTCTAATTAAGAAATGGTTTTGAGAGCACACTTTAATCTCAGGCAAAGGCAGGTTGATAAAGTTCAAGGCCAGCCTGATCTACAGGGTGGGCTAGGGTTACACAGAAAAACCCTATTACTAAAAACAGAACAAAAAAGTTTATTTAGCTGGTATTTAGTACTATTAAATAGTACTAATACTATTTAGCTGGTAGGTGGTGGTGGTGCAGGCCTTCAATCCCCACCACTCAGGGGGCAGAGGCCAGGTGGATAGAGAAAAGATGTCTCAAAAAACAAAACAAACAAAAAAGCAAAATCAAACAAAACAAAACAGAGCAATGGTCCTCACTCAGTAAGTACCCAAGTCAATCCCTTACTTACTTCTTCAGGGTTATCTTTCCTCCCCCCCCCCTCAATACATGTGAGTAACCGTATCTCTTCTTCCTCTCTCCTTTAAAAGCATATATCCAAGCAAGCAGTTCTCATATTCTCATTCCTTCTACTTGTCCACCTGACAAAATTCTCACTTTCAGAGCTTATCCTAACAGAAGAACATTCTGGCACCCAAAATAGGCTTATTATGCAGCCATCCTTTCATGTTCCTGCCATCTTCTAGACATGCTACCACTCAACAATTCTTGCAAGGCACTGTACTCTGCAAAAGCAGGAATTCTTATCCCCTTTTCAGTATAGTCCTCTTGTCCACACTGCTTGGCAGATAACGTGATTAAAATACTTTCCTGTGATAACTAGGTAATGACCTCCCACAGAACTGAAGGTCCTAGCCTTATGAGATGCTCTTTTATCACTTCCAATTTTCAACTTTTGCTGATGTCTACATTCTCTTCCCCAGAAAACACATCCAATTATTTATTCATGCTGCTCTCCACTTACTCTAAATCAATGTAAATTTTTTCTCTCTAACATCTATAATGTGTATTTCTTCTTTTAACAAGTGTTTATTACACTTAAATATATTTAGCTTCTTAGTCCCTTAAAAATAAATTCCAATTTCAACTCTCCCCAAAGGAAATTTTTGTTGTTGTTGTTGTTTCTAAGTTTTTTCATTAGCAGGGTATGATGGTACAAGTCTGTGATCTCAGCATTTGCAACATTGAGGCAGAAGGAGTCTACCTGGGCTACATACTGAGTTGAAGGCCAGCTTGTACTACATGGCAAGATCCTGCTTTAATTTAAGATCAACGAGTTCTGAGCAGCAAAGTCTACGGGTCCTAAGGAGACACATCAGAGGACACGAAGAATCTATTTCCTACCACCTTTTCTATCCCTGTGCTCCAAGGCTTCTCGTCTCCTGACATTCCTGCCTACTCATGCCTAGTTCATGCCCACCTTCAAAGAGAGTGAGTTAAATCCTCTAAAATTAGGGTTACCAAAACATCTGCTGTCCAACATAGATCATGAACTATCACCTCATCTAGATACAAGCCAGGTCAGGACCTTTTGTTTAAAATGTAATAACTTCTCAGTACTAGAAAACCCTTAAACAATTAGGTTGAAATCCAAAATTACTGGGGGGAGAGGGGGGCAGTTCTGCCACAGGTCTTCTGCACTCCCTCTGTTCTAGGGTTGGAAGACATTCATTTTTTCAATTCCTTCAAGGATAGCTCAAATATTATCTTAACTGAAGCCTTGCCCAGAACAAAACAGTAAGCCTTCTCATGCTTTTCTTGCTTTATTCTTTTGTACAGAGATGATTATACACTAATTACTGTTTTTTTCTCTGCTAGGATAAGCTGTGAAGCAGAAGGATTCTGGTTTACTGTTGTACTCCCACTTTCTAAAATATGTCTGGTAATAAAGTTTGTGAGTGAATACTTATTTGATCCATGAACTAACTGATCAGGAGCCATTCATAATTGAGAAAGTATCCAAAACTTCTCGCCCTTCAGAAGAAAAGTCTTATTTTCTTGGTCCATCAACTTCTTGTCTAGGACAGATGGGCCTCTTGATCCCCCTCCACACTCTCCAGCTGGTAATCAATATAAGGGGGGGGGGGCAGAATGGTTTTCAAACCACACAACATGATTCAGACACCTGGTGACCATTTGTCTAGGAGAAGCTAGTAGTGTAGCTGGATTTTGGAGCTACCCAAGGCTCCTCAGGAATGACAGTCAACCTGGTCTGCCATAGAAATAATCTTGGTTAAGGACCTCTGATCACAGCAGAACTGCCAGGAGTATTTTATTGCTCCAGGAATGACAGTAGACATTGGTATATCTCATCCTGGTGTAGACACACTGGTTTGAACAGTCTGTTCTTGGACAACACATGGAAGCTATCAAATGTCTTGACTCTTTCAAATGTGTGAAATGGATATTATCCACTGACTGTTAATAGCCTATACACTACAGGTAAGACTGAGGTAGAAAGCAGGATAGTCTTTCAGGTTCAATTGTGAATATCATACTTCCTACAAGCGGCAAATGAGACTCAAGAGTTCTATTTAAGTGATAGTCCTTTGTATAAACAGAAAATATTACCTCAATTTTTTGCCTACTCATTGTATTGTTATACATGCTATAGTCTTAAGTAATATTCTTTTTCATTTTATATATTAGAAAGAAATAGAAATGTGACTTAATTATAAATATTTTTTATTTAATTTTTTATTAATTATAGTTTATTCACTTTGTATCCCAGCTATAGCCCCTTCCCTCACCCCTCCTAATCCTACCCTCTCTCCCTCATCTCCTCCCATGCCCCTCCCCAAGTCCCCTGACTGGGGAGGTCTTCCTCCCCTTCCTTCTGACCCTAGCATATCAGGTCTCATCAGGACTGTCTACATTGTCTTCCTCGGTGGCCTGATAAGGCTGCTCCCCTGTCACAGGGAGGTGATCAAAGAGCCAGCTACTGAGTTCATGTCAGAGATAGTCCCTGTTCCCATTACTAGGGAACCCACTTGGAGACTGAGCTGCCATGGGCTACATCTGTGCAGGGGTTCTAGATTATCTCCATGCATGGTCCTTGTATGGAGTATCAGTCTCAGAAAAGACCCCTTTGCCCAGATTTTTTGGTTCTGTTTCTTTCTTTCCTTGTAGAGCTCCTGCCCCCTCCAGATCTTTCTATCTCCCCCTTCTTTCATTTGCTCAACCATGTTTGTAGCAGCTTTACTCATAATAGCCAGAATCAGAAACAACCCATATGTCCCTCAGTTGAGGAATGGATACAGAAAGTGTGGTACATTTACACAATGAAATACTAGTCATCAATTAAAAACAAGGAAATTATGAAATTTGCTGGCAAATGGTAGTAACTAGAAAAGATCATCCTGAGTGAGCTATCCCAGAAGCAGAAAGACAAGTGGCATATACTCACTCAGAAGTGGATATTAGACATATAATATAGGATAATCATACTAAAATCTGTATACCTAAAGAAGCTAAGCAAGAAGGGGGACCCTGGGTAAGATGATCAATCCTCGTTCAGAAAGGCAAACAGGACGGACATCGGAAGAGGGAGAAAACAGGGAACAGGACAGAAGCCTACCACAGAGGGCCTCTGAAAGACTACCCAGCAAGGTATCAAAGCAGATGCAGAGACTCACAGCCAAACTTTGGGCAGAGTGCATGGAATCTTATGAAAGAACGGGAAGACCGGAAGACAGAAAGACCCGGAGGGGTCAGGAGCTCCACAAGGAGAGCAACAGAACCAAATATTTTAAATTAAAACCAACACAACTGTTATCTAAGGGAGAGGGGGAAAAAGGAGAGGATGAAGAAGGGAATAGACTGCGTGATTCCAGGAGAGTTTCAGCAACTGTGCCCAACTGTGTCTGCTCTCCAGGACGACAAGTGTCATTTTCAGCCCCACTCTTACCTAGCCTCAAGCTTGTCTTATCTAGAGAAGAACATTCTCAACTCTATACACAGCACAAGGCTGAACCACGAGACTCTCTACAGTCAACCATTGTGAAATACTGAAAACAGCACCTTAATGTGCATATTTAAAGAGAAGGGCCTAGCTTTCCTAAGACTGTCACATCAACTTCTCTTCTTTCTCCCAGGGAACTACTTTGGGAGTTTGAGCAGAGATGCCACAGACACACAGCAGTTAATATTTACTGAAGATGGGCTAAATGAAAGGTTGAAAAAGACTGTACCTCCATCATCAAAATATTAAAACTTTCAATTTTTTATACACTATAGACACAGTGACAACAAAGATACACAGGTTTCGAAGAACAGCAAAGTGTAATACCTACTAGTTGCAAACAACTAGCTTTATATGGGAAAATATTTACCTCACCATGCCTAATATTTTCCCAATATTTTCAAAAGGCAATAGTGATGACTTTAAAATAGGGCTTTGGTAGTCCCTAAGCAAGGTAAGATTACAGTTCCTATACACACCCCAATAAACTGAAGTCCCTGTGAGTAAAACTTCCAACATCTTGGAAAAGCTAAGGGAATGAGCCCTTGACCAGGGTCCTTGTAGGAGGAGATATTCTCAGGTTCTTAGGGAGAATTATTCTAGGGGAGATGGCAGAACGACCTCAAAGCCCGAGAATGTGCAGGTGCTGTAAACACCTCTCCCCACCCCTTTCAAAGAAACTAGGTTCTTCAGACCTACCAGTTTGAAAAAACCATCACCACAACTCCAATACAATGGACTCAGCTACATTGAAGCAAAAACGATACACACAAGAAACTCCAAACAAAACCAAAAAGCCCACAATAGGAACCAATACCTCTCCCTCCACTCTACTTGGAGAGTGTTTCAGACACACTCTCCAAGCTTTTCACCAACTTGCAGTGACTGACTGCTCCTTCCTTCAACTTAGGACCTCTCAGCCAAGACAACAGTTCACCTGGTCCTGCTAAAGCACCCTTCAGTGTCAGTGCTGGGTTCCTCCCCTCCCCTTGTTTTTGGATAGGGGAACCTTTCTGCTGACCCTTGGCTTACCATTCTCACCTAACGCATCCCCCACCCCCGTCCTTCTTTCACTTCAGCATTTGCTGTCATTTCTTCTCCATGTTTTCCCAAGCGAAGGGCTCCATACTCTCTACCTCCATCTCTCTCTGCCTGTTCTCATCTTAGCAAACTGACCTAACTACTAAATCAGGCAGCCATTGCTAGAGACCAAACGGCAGTCTAATTCCTCAAACCATTTTCTATCTCCCCAGGTTTGCCTCCCTATCTTTACATGGTTACTAGCCCTTCAACATCCAGCAAAATACACGGAAAAACACTCCATTACCACTTTATGATTTCTGCAAACTCTAAATTTGTGGCGCTTACAGCCGAAAAAAACTTTTGGAGGGCAACACCCAACTTGGGTGAAAAGCAAACAGACCAATAAATCACGAGAAGAAAGAATGGATTTTAAAGTAAGCCCCGTTTGCCTTACTTGTACTTCCAAACCAGTCTCCCTAAGAAAAACGACTTGGTCTTGCTTTACCTCAGCGGTATAATTGCAGAGGCCAAGCAGTGCCTGGCACACAGTAGGCATTCAAGAAACACTAGCCTACGAAAGGAACACAAGGGCAGTGGAATGAATGAACATTCCAAGCCTTGCAGAGCGCATGGCACACTGCCGCAGGTCTTTAAAAAAAAAAAAAAAAAAATGAAGCGGCTGCAAAAGGAGCCCTGTGAGCAAGACAGTCCCGAGGGTCCGGCCTGAGAAAGCCGACCCTCCGAGCACGCGGGACCTCCCTCCCCGCGCCGCCCCAGCCTCGCACCTTAGTGTCCACATCGGCCAGACAGTCCCTGCGGAACTGGTCGAAGAGGCCCTGGCTCTTGAGGTGGTTCACGATCATGGCAACGAGCTGCGGGTCCCCGGCGCCGGTTCCCGCGCCACCCGGCCCGCTCGCTCCGGGACCAGCCCCAGGGCCCGGCGGCGGCGGCGGAGGCTGTGGCTGCGGCGGCGGCGGCGGAGGCGCAGGTGGCGGGGGCTGCGGCTGCGGGTTGGTGGCCATGGCGGCCCGGGCGGGGAACGCGCGAGCCCAGGCGGGCAGGCGCTCCTGGGGAGGCGGCTACACAGGTCCCGCCGCCTGAGGGAAGCCAACGGGATGTTGTTACGGAACCAGCGGATCTAGAGCAACCCCGGAAGTGAAAAGGAACTGAGGGAAAGGAGGAAAAGGCGGTGACAGTCGCAATTAAGGTCTGGCTACGGGGGCCGCTAAGGTCCAATTCCAGCCGCCTCGAGGCGTGAGCGCCCTCGCGAGGCTGAGCCTGGCGGGAACTGGCTGTAGTGGCTGGCTGCTCCCGAGAGGCGAAGCAGCTGAGAGTTGCGTAGGAACTGAAGCCAGCCTGAGCTCCACCTGTGGCTTCAGCTCGGAGCAGACGGGAAAGAGGCTTTAGTCTAGTTTTAACAGTGCGGCTGCCAAGCCCGCCTTACTTGCTCCTTTTTCTCGGAGCGGTGGAGACCCATTTACAGTGCGAACCATTTGCGGAACTGCTGGCGAACTCTCCGGAGTTTAGGATCCTATTTTCTTTCCAAAAGGATAACTTCAGGGTCTTCGCTTTTCTGTTCCACATACCCGTCCCATTTTCCCTATGGATCCCTTGCTACTCTTGCAGCGTGCCTGTCTCTCTACGAGGGTTTTGCTTCTCGTTATTACCAGTGGGCGAAGCTTATTCAGATAGCATTATGTCCTAGGCACGGTCTGTATATGCGTTAAGGCATTTAGTCCTTGGAAAACACTTAAGACTGAATCCCTGTACGGGTTAATTTTATGTCAACTTGACACTAACTAGAGTCATCTGTGAGGAGGGCACCTCAGTTAAGAAGAATGTCTCCGTAAGATCTGGCTATAGGCAAGCCTGTGCATATTTTCTCTCTCTCTCTCTCTCTCTCTCTCTCTCTCTCTCTCTCTCTCTCTCTCTCTGTTTTTCTCTTTCGTTCTCCCCCCCCCTCCCAGGGTTTCTCTGTGTAGCCTTTGTTGTCCTAGATTTGCTTTGAAGACCAGGCTGGCCTCTGCCTCCCAGTCTGCTGGGATTACAGGCATGCTCTACTTCGCCCGGTTGGATTTTCTTAATTAATGTAGGATTAATTAATTAATTGATTGATTGATTGACGTGGGAGGGCCCAGAACATTGTGGGTGGGGCTACCCATAGGTTGGTGACCTTGGCCAAGTCAGGCACAGGGAGCAAACCACTCCTCCAGGTCCTGCCAGTGTGAGTTCCTATCCTGACTTCCTCTGATGATGATGAACAGTGATGTGGAAGTATAAACCAAAGAACACCCCCTACCCCGCCAAGTTGCTGTTGGTCATAGTGTTTCATCATAGCAATGTTAACATTAACTGGGACACACTACTGATCCCAATTGGCACATCAGGAAATCACAGTTGTACAAAGTTACACAGCCGGGAAATCCCCTGACCTGGGGCTGAGTAGTCTTCAAACCGTTCTTAAAACTGGGTGGAAGTGGGGCACAAAACTTTAATCCCAGCACTCCCCAGGCAGAGGCAAGCAGAACTGAGTTCAAGGCCAGCCTGGTCTGCAGAGTTCTGGGACCCCCAGAGAGAGCTACTCAGAGAAACGCTTGTCTAAAAAACAAACAAACAAACAAACAAGTTTAAAGTAGGGTAAAGTATAAGTGTATAAATTTTTCCTTTTTTTTTTTTTTTTTGAGACAAGGTCTAGCCATGTAGGTTTCACTGGCACTTGCTTTAAACTTCCTTTGGAGATATGCCTGGCTCTCCTTCCTCAGTGCTAGGATTAAAAGTGTTTACCACCACACCTGCTAGTATATATATTTTTTGTGATTCAAGTTCAAAATAAGTTTTGACAACAAGATAAGATTATAACTTGTTTTTCCTTAGTGTTCCAACAGAATTGCACTATGCTAACTGTACATTGTCAAGTGTGTATATAAAAAGGCTTAGTGTTCATTTGGCATATAAATATATATAAATACATATGTGTATTGTATAAATATATGTGTATATATACCAACTTTTCTGAAACAGCTAAGTAAGAATTATCCATAAAACTGAAAACTTCACAAAATTAATTGAATAACAATGACTAAACTTAAAAAAATTAATAAAAGGCATTTACTGCTAAATACAATTTGTTTAGTGGCCCATAAATAACATTACTTACATATAATATATAAAAAGTCCTGAATCATTCAAAAATGTATGAAGGTATGAATTAATTATAGGTCAGATAATTCACAACTGACACCCTAAACTAAGTGGTGGCTGACATGTTGAAATCTTAGAAGCAGCATGTTTGCAGACAGGGGTTCCAGTTACACTGATCACACACACTAGATACAATGTATTTTGAGCAGAGCAGTAGCCTTGGGAAACCGTCCTGGATACATTGAAAAGACTCCAGTCACTGCTCTCTAGTGTTGGGGAGATTCAGAGGCACTTTTCTTTCTGTTTGAGGCCAGATTCTAGGGTTGAGTATTGCGCTTACCTGGAGAAAAGGGAAGGGAACACATTACAATTTTTCTTTTTAGAAATATGTTTAAAGTAGTATTTTTTGTCAGCGACCCTGTTGACTTTGTTTACGCTTGACTGTTTCCTTAGAAATGATAATATAATTTTGACAATAATGCATGGAGAAAGTAATGTCTCCTCCCTTTCCCTCTCCCCCACCGCACTCCCTATACCCATTTTCTTCCCTACAATTGCTATCATTTCTCTATCCCTTTATTTGTACTCCTGAATATAGAACACCCCAAGAAGTTCACATACTTTATTCCCAAATATGGCTTTCTTTCATTCTGTTTCTCATGTTTGATATTTAAAAAAAACACTGCAAATACTCTGGGAATGAGAGAGAGCATGGTTTATAGCAGCCATTACTTGGAATTATTACTATACTCAGGGACCATACTTCAGCAAAGCGATTGGCGATTGGCCCATGGAATTTACTCTTTCCTGTTGTGTAATCTATTCCCTAGACCTACCCAATCCTTCCAATAGCATTTCTGGGGGGGGGGGGGTCATCCAAAGAAAGTCAGACATCACAGACATCACAGGTCTCCTCACTCTTGGCAGCCACATGATTACCAGGCAGAGATTTGTTTTGTTTTATTTCTTTGTATCTCTGCAATATCCCCTTCTGTAGCACCCCCACTCAAAAATAGGATATGTGCCAGTTACTTCATAGCTCTCTCTCAATCCAAAGCCTACAGAGTTTCAAGAGTCTGTCATTTTTAATGGTAACACAGGCAGAGCTCCAGGCACACTGTGAACAGCCTCTGTGGAAACACAAAAAGCACAAAGATGTATTATTTGCCTATTACCCGGATTGCAGCCATTTTTGTTTTCCTGTTTCTGTGGTAATATGTAGCAGGCCACGAAGGTGGGAAGAACATTTTCCCTACTTATTTTATCTATCTATCTATCTATCTATCTATCTATCTATCTATCTATCTATCTATCTCAATTTATTCACCTTGTATCTCGGCTGTAGCCCCCTCCATCTCCTCCCAGTCTCACCCACCCTCCCTCTTCTCCCGCTATGCCCCTTCCCTAGTCCACTGGTAGGGGAGGTCCTCCTCCCCTTCTATCTGACTGTAGCCTATCAGGTCTCTTCAGGATTGGCTGCATCATCTTTCTCTGTGCAAGGCTGCACTCCCCGAGGGGGAGGTGATCAAAGAGCTGGCCACTCAGTTCATGTCAGTTCCTGCCCCACTTCCTACGGAATCCACTTAGAAACTGAGCAGGGGGTCTAGGCCCTCTCCATGCAAGGTCCTTAGTTGAAGTATCAGTCTCTGCAGTGCCCCCTGGTGGTCTTCTTGTGGTGTTCCTGTCCCCTCCACTTCTTTCTATCTCCCTCTGGGAAGAACATTTTTCAATGTGAGAAGAGGGGTCAGTTTCCTTCTGAAAGGGCTGGAAAGTTGTAAATTACCCTGAGTGAGATTGACATGAGAGCTAACAAGAACCGATGGTAAGGTACAAAGGGTGAACTATACTTCTGGGACAATTATTAGGGACTAGAAACCTCATTCCCTCTCAGTCTGGAGGGCATGATGCTATGGAAATGGCAGGTGGGTCCTCGAGGAACTGCAAAGTTTACTAAGGCACTGGATCAAAGGTGGGTCTGGGACAGCAAAATGTCAGTTACAGCCAACAGTGACTAATACTGGTTTTCATAACCCTCTAGAAATGAGGGGTAGGAACCTCAGAGCAAAGAAGTCATGAAAAAAGTCTCTCTCCCACTCTCTGTGTGTAGTCACATGCATTAATTACATTAGCAGTTAATACTATCAAAATAAAACATGATCATTCCTCCAAAGGGAATAGCTGAGATTGCCTGGAATGATATGTTCCACTGTGGAAGTGATCACATGAACTTATAGTCAAAAGACAAAAGATGGCAATAAACAAATGCATTTACCGAATAAGTTGATGGAGACAACAGGAAGATGGGGAATAAGAAAACAAAGGAATTTCTCCTTCCCAGATGCTGTCTGATGACATGCTTATCTTTGGGATTACTTTTAATACATCTTAAAGATTTACCTTTTGACTATTGTCAAAAGGGATGTTAAGTCAGATACCGAGGTGGGTGATTGTCTTAGACACTGTTCTATTACTGTGAAGAAACACCAGGACCACTGCAACTCTTATGATTAAAAAAAAAAGTGTTTAAATCAGAAGGGCTTGTTTACAATTTCAGAGGCTTAGTCCATTATCATCATGGTGGGAAGCAGACAAGCATGGCTCTAGAGCAGTAGCTGAGAGCTTTACATCCTGATGTGTAGGCAGCAGGCAGAGGGGAGGGGAGAAAGGGGGAAATGGCAAGAAGGAAGAAGGGAGAGGAAATAGGGGAGAGGGAACAGAGACTGGGCCTAGTGTGGACTTTTGAAATTTTGAGGCCCACCCACTCCCAGTGACATATCTCCTCCAACAAGGCCACATCTCCCTAATCCTCCCAAGTAGTCCACCATTTGGGGACCAAGCACTCAAATGTTTGAGCCTATGGAAGCCATTTTTATTATATAACCTCAGTGATAATGCCTACTAAAAAGACAACAATTTGGTTAAGATATTATTGGCTTTCCAGCATTCCACCTCTACATAATCACTACACTGCAATTGGACCATCAGTTGAAAAACA